CTTGCCACTTACAGCGAGAAAGCCGTCAAAAGGGCACTGTGATAAACTTTTACCTCCTCATTTAATCTTTTAAGGTTTAACAATCTAGCGCAAAGCGATCTAGCGTTTTTCCTTTACGTAGCATTCTAGGCCTTTGGTGGTAACACATCCCACCTATTTTTATGTAATTCCTGATATCGCTACTGTCCTATACGGCTCACTTCTCACATTCTTAATGTGTATACTTTCCTTGATCTAAATCATCTTTTTATGCTTGTAAGTGATCTCAAATCATCGCAAGGTATGGCGACTTTGACGGGATATCCGTAGCTGCAACAATGAAAGCACTTGGTTACGACAAATTTGCCAGTAGTAGTGCTCAGCTTATCTGTTCATACTCAATAGCCTTTCGAGTATACATTAGATCTTCAAGTTAGCGAGTGTCCACTGAAGCTAATGATGCTGCTCGTACTGCAATGACCTTCCTACGAAGTACACGTAACACGTGCCAATTCTCAATGGCAAGAAAATTTGCGAACAGAACTCTTACTTCAATAAATTAGTGAAGCTAAGTCAAGACGGCGAACTTTAACGCTAAGGATAAGATTGACCTCACTTCGTGACTCTCGCGCTTGAATAACTTATGTCCATTTTTCATTTATAAGAAAAAATGAAAGGCCTCCAGTTCGAAGACAAAGAAAGCACTAATGCCCAAGCAGTAGAGACGACAGCGTAACGTGGATGCAGCTATACCTATTGTAGACCAAACTATGTCACACAAACACGTGCCGATTTTGTAACGGGGCAACCTTTGCTTAGGGCGACGAGAAACTTTATGTACACTAGTACATGCAGAGGAAGCTAATCTACTCAACAACAATGTTGAGTAAAGGGTAAAAAAAGAACTACATCTAATGTAGTTAAGCTATCAATTTAACTTCAGTCTTCATCTAACTATATTGATCTACATTGTCGTATGACGACAACTGGTTCGCCACTCATTACGCGCGTCTAGCAGCGATTAGTAATAACCTTGGTTGACATGTCTTTATCAACCAATGTTTGAGCAGCGCATCAATATCATCCTACAGGGGTATAGCGTTCCATCCATATTGACTATCTCGGGTGAAATTGGCAGGATATTGTCATGCTAGACGGAATCCATATTGACACCGTTTAGTATCATTATCATGCAACGGGCTACCCCGTTACAGATTTTCTAAAAGCAGGGATTTAAGACGAGTAACCCTGAAGCAGCGCCAAGCTACGACAATTATCCGACCGGACGTCAACGAACTGGTACTGCTACGCATTTCCTTTTGTGCAGACGCCGCTGGCGTCATAACAGTCGAGTGCCAATGAGGGTACGGATAGCGTATGCCGTTAGCGTCTCTAATGCATCTTTGAAAGGAGCTGCACATTGGCGCGAAGTGACACCATATCGATAGGCTCGTTAAACTCGGGCAAGACGGCGATTTGAGCACAGGCACTACCACTACCGACATCATGATTGCTATCAGTGAAAAACGCCACTGAATCTAATTAAAAGCACTTGCAATTTTCGGTTTGTTCAGCCGGTGCACTGACAGCAGTCGTGACGGATCTGTCGACTGTCCAGTGCACAGACTCTGATACCACGATCACAACAGGATATTAATAGCTTCAAGCCTTGAGAAACCAACATGTACTGCACAAATATTTACAGACAGCTGATAGATTTAGGAAATCGCGCGGATGGCGTCATGAGATGACGACACGAACGTGTCAACACATGTGTGTGATACGCGGTTTAATTCTGAGCTCTCGATAGTGCGGGAGGCGCTGTGACTTTCAGTTATCTTGAATCGTTGAGTAAATGATAAGTAGACAATAATCTATCCAGTCTTTTGCTTTTCTCAAAACAGTCTGCCAGTCTTCCCGATTCACCTGTGATGGCTTTAAATGCGTCTTTTTTTACATACTTGTTCGCCAATTCCGCGGCTGCGTGCAATATTAACCGTCTCTACTCGTGATTCGACGCCAGAGTTTGCTGTTGTCGGGACTATATGGTGGAGTGGCGATCGCTCATTTTATGAGTCGATCCCAACTCTCCATTGGCGCCCGGACGACCGACTAACGGAGGGGGTACTCCGATTCCGTGTGTGTTGCCTTTCTCACCTTGTGTACCCATCGGTAGGGCGGGTTGCACCCTTCTAGGTAGACTCGTGTCAAAGAAAAACTTTACCGTGTTGGAGATGGGGTTGTGATCGTGCGGAAATCTTCACGCGATCACGGGGTACTTGTGGGTACTGATTGAAGTTACCCTGATCTCAACGAGATCGCCTTGTCCACTATGTGGTTGCTTGATCCGCGAGCCTTCTAAACACTTGAGCCGTCTCGCGATCTTGCGCCTTGCCTTTACGTGCCTTGCTGCGTCCGATCGCAGTTGATGTTGCTTGAGAGTTCTTGAAAACACCTGGCCAAAACTATGTGTGACACTTGCGTAGACGTGCAGCGCGACTGTTTATTCGATTGGGGGGCCAAAGATCCCACCCGGAAGAGATAACGTGTGCCTTGTGAACTAAACTGAACTCTATTTAATGTCAACCAACCATCCTGAACCCTACCCCTATGCCTATCCGTATATCCTAACCAGATGCCACGCGTCGCCTTTCCAGGAAGATCGTCCCCTCGCATTTGTGTGGTCCACACCCAGTACATCAGCAGTTGTATCGTCTTGTGGCCGACCCAAAATATCCCCATGATCCTGCTAGCGGATCGTGATCCTACTAGCGGATCGCAGCTGAGATCGGACTTGCGATCCTAAGTTAGGATCGCGGTCTTCCAGTGAGATCGAGGGTCTTGTCTTGCCATGTCTCACGACGGATTCCATAATCAAAACACGTGCGACCACCCTATAGCCTCGTCCCAGGCTGTACGATCCTGTCCATTTGGGGTTTGGGTACGCTATTGACAGGTACCCGTCCCGGCCTGTATCCACTTATCATAGCATTTTTGGCTAAACTGAAGCGTGCGACCCGTGTGATCGCCGATCCAAGTCCCAATGTAAATTTCCTTGTGACGGCTTTGCCACAACTACTTTATAAGACCCTTTACGGTTCTGGCCAACGCTCAGTTCAATTTTGAAATGATAGTGGCGCTATCGCTGCAACTTCGAATGAAGTTCCGGAAAACACGTATGATTAACTTTTTGTGCAAGTAGGTGTACGTAGTAAAAATGCACAGGCTCTGAAAACCACTTGATCCAACAGGCAATTCATGTTGCAGCAGCCGTAGAGACGACCACGAGTATTGATTAAATAGGTGCTCAAATTAATCCAATGCTTTGTAATGAGGGCTTCGATATAAGCCGTTCTATGGAGCTCACCTGGAGCCTTATAGGTTTTCTCAATTTGTAGCACAGTGAGTGAGCTATCCTTGATCAGCGTATACTTAGCATGGTGAGCGACCATATGCTTGGTGATATTTTCTTCTGATGCACACCCCGCATTTTATAAATGTTGTCGAGGGTTATTCCGTCTAACGGCACCTGTGCTCACTTGACTTTCAAGAAAAAGTCCATCAACTACACATCTCGTCTGCCTTGACATGTTCTGAATAGGCCTCGGTAAAGTAAATTAAAAGGTACGGGGTTACTTGTTGTTCTGCCTTTAAATTTACTGCCATTGGCTTTTTTTTGTGTTCACCTTTCTCTACCCCTTTACGTGGGTATATACCCGGTAAACAAGCGTTCGTACGGTTGATTGTATCCGTTTAGTTGCGGCGCCCCATCATTTTAGATTGGTTGGGTGGAACGGAGTAGGTTCGAGATGTGTACGCCAAGGTGGTATAGAGCGCGCAATTCGCTTTTGCAGTTTTTCATTTAAGCTCACTTTCGGCCTATTAAGTAGAGGACAAGTTTCGAAGTAAAAATTTATTTGTTAGGTTCTTATTTCGCTCACTTTTGCTACCTCTAAGTCTACATGCATCCACCCTGATTTGTTTATTCATGCAACAACTGCATACATGTTCGTTACTGTCGTCCGTAATTAACGACCGTTATTGTCGTGCCTTACCGACGTCCATCACCATGATGTTTGCCGTAGATTACAAGACTCCCGCCGTCATGTCATCAGCTTTCTGGAACGTGTTTTAAACGGCTTCCTCTTTAGCAGAGGTCATCTCAACACGGCCTGAAATACCATGTCGGGGAATTTTTAGGAAGCAACTGAACAGCCCCTTTGTCAAATAAACCCTGTACCGATTTTCCAGACCCAATTTGAGCTGCTGGACGTCAGATTGCACGTCATTAAAGCCGAAATATACGATTGCGGCTTCATCTTTCGCTCAACTTACCGGCACTATGATAATACCGTCACCATAATTATCCCGGCACCCATGTCCAGGCGCAGGAAACGTTTAATGTCGTCATTCGTAACATCCCATCTTGGGCGCATCTTGTCTGTAACGGGGCACCCTGAAGCTTGTACTAATGACAGTACAAGCTACTTATTCTGACGACAGAATAAGGCGGTGCATCGGAACATCACGTACACTGGTACGTGCAGAGGAAGACGGTAAGAAGAAGCGAGTACTTAGTTTAAGTAAAAAGTAGAACTGTATTTATCATAGTTAATGTCTGCAATAAATCACTATTTATCCTCATCTAACTATGTCTGAATACAAATGTGCATATCAACTATCTGCTCACCACTCATTGCGTGCGTCTGTCGTGGCGCGTCTTCGTTGGTTGATATGATGACCCAAATCAACCAATTAGGAACTACTCGTAAGTGCTGTAGAATATTTGTCCTTATGACAATATTTTGAGAATATAACTCTTATAGTTATATTCGATTAACAATTTCTTATAAATTGTTATGTAACGATTCACCCCGTTACATCACCCCCCCCCCTCAACCATCAGTCACTTTAGTGACTGATTGACTAAATGGATACTCGTCCCAAATCATTTGGGACAGGGTTTGCACTTGTTGGTCCGAGTCCACTTTCCAACAGTTCATCGCATGGTTAACAAGCCCATGCGGTGCGCGAGCAAGGCCGCCGAGAGCGCGTCCGCACGTCTCTGTGCGGACGCCGAAGCAGAAACTACAGCAACTGATGTCTCATCGGTTGCTGAAGCGACCCAGCCTGTGTCACCTGGTGATGCAGGCGCTCGTCATGAAGCCACTCATGTCTTCACAGAGTACGAGCTCGGTGTCTCATACTCTCCTGATACGGAAGACGGATCCGTATCGACGGCGATCGAAACCAAGCCGCCTGCCAAGCGTGGCATGGATGATGCTTTGCGTCGTAGCATCTTTGGTTCATCTGACGAATCAGATGAACCATCGCCAAAGCGAAGGCGCTCGAGGTCGCGCGACTCGAGCGCTAACAGTGGTGTCGGTTCTCCTATGGACACCACTTCGCAACGAGGTGCCAGTCCTTCTGTTGGCACGTCGCAAGAAGAGCGGGACCGCAGTGTGTTGCGTCTCGCTCCCGAGAAGAAGGCATGGATGCCTCCAAAATCCGTCATGGGTCACTTGTCGGCGACGACAAGTGATCGCTATCGAACACGATTATTCGATTCGTTAAGGATCGATCACCTTGACCCCAGTGCGAAAGACTATCGCACTGAACATGAGTTCTTATCGATGCTTTCTTCAAACTTCGATGGTACAGTGGGAATTACAAACGTGGTGGTCCCTCACTGCTTCAAGCGTGGAACGCTTACATCCATAACCTTGAGGATGTAGGTCGTGACGTTTGAAACGACAAACTTGTAAAAGCTCGTGAAAAGTTTGAGAAGAGAACCCCGACCCGACAGGTGCACGCTACAAGCTGCATCGTCTGTATAAGGAAGGCGGGTTACCATGTACTTCCTGGGGAGACCCGTGCCCGTGTTGTGTAAACAACTCAGCGCGCGCACCTAAGGAGGCTTACCTCCTTACCAGCCCGTGGTGGCTCGTACGTATCTCTACTGAGATGTAAGAAGGGATTGACAACCTGAAATCCCTTTACGACCGTGCCGGGAAGACTTTCTGCGGTGGTCCTTCTGCGGCACAGGATGTGCCGCGTCGTACTGCTCAACCAGACCCAGTACGTCAACCATCAGTTGGGAGCGGGGCTCCCAAGTATCTTAGGACGGGGGGTAGCCGCGCGACCGGATGAGGTAACTCGTCCGACGTCCGTTCACATCGCGGTGGTTCAGCAGCTGCTCAACCAGATAGCGCTGGTCACCGCGAGAGTCCTCCAATGGAGGTGAAGGAGGAGGAAAGACGCTCTCCAAACTATCGTGGGAAATCGTGTGTTACCGAGAGCTTCTTTGATCGCGTAACGCAAGCGTTACGTGGCGACCTTGAGCATGAGCGGGACAGGCGTCTTCAACTGGCGGACACTGTCCTGAAGCATCGAGTTGAGTTTGCCTTTGCTCAGCTTGAGAACGAGAGATCTCTTACATCTCTGCGTGATGAGCTAAGGGTAGCTCGTGTGGATATTGACCGGTCTCGGGCGGAGATAACTGCTCTTAAGATCCTTGTTGACATCCACCATCGGGAGCACAAGGCTCTCTGTGAGATGCTTGACCGCAAGGGCGTTCTTCATCGGAAGAAGCAGCGTACTGATGGTACAGCTTAAGCCGACCAACGTAAAATGTGGGATGCGTTCGCATCTTACGTGGCAATTCGATCGTGCATGCGTTGCCTAGGAGATGCAATACACGAAATGGACCGATATACTTGGGTAGTAGTTTACTGCTACCCAAGTTAGTCACTACATGCTTTGGTAGATTAACCGTAGACAGTAGGACTAAGTCACCTTTATTAAATAAAAGAGTGTTTGCCCTTCCATTCTTGTCTACGTTTTGCTTTTGCTTATCCACCGCTTCGGCGATGGAGTCTTGCATGGAACGGACTACCGTTTCGAGCCAGTATGAACTCATCTGATGACTCGTTAGCTTCAGTGCGCTGTGAGTGCACTGCAGCGACATCAATCTTTTCTTTAGTGAGGGATTCCTTGCTCTCACTGGCATCATCTTCCTCGATATCGATGTTGTCGATATCGACATCAAACGCAGTGACCTCATCGTCAGAGCGTGATGAGCGTGAACCAAATCTTCTTTTGCTCGCGCGAGTCCCCCCCCCTTAAACCAGAGTTACACTCTAGTAAGGTGGGTACACGCGGATGGCGCAAGCCATTCACGTAAAACGGTGTATGTGTCGTGGACGCATGCACCGAGTTGTTGATGGCAAACTCTACCATTAGCAAGAACTCACTCCAACTCTTAAAGGAGTGTACGTATCCTCGAAGTATCTCTTCAAGGACACGATTGGCACGTTCCGTCTGACCATCTGACTCTGGATGATCAGATGTAGACATCTTCAAGCGCGTTCCGAGTGATTTGAACACGGAACGCCAGAAATCAGCAGTGATTCGTGGATCTCTGTCTGATACGAGTTCACGGGGCAACCCATGAAGTCGGAAGATGGTGTCAATAAAGACACAAGCACAGCCACTTTCCGTGATTGACTCTGGTACAGCCACAAGGTGTACCATTTTGCTGAATCTGTCAACAAATACAAGAATACCCGTATTCCTGCGTGCGTCTCTGAGTCAACCGAAGACGAAATCCATTGAGATGGATTCCATGCACTCTGACGGAACTGGTAGAGGCTGTAAAGGTGCACGCAGTGAAGGACTTGACTTCACTCGTTGGCAGACTTTGCATGCGCGAACATACTTTCGCACAAACTGATACTGGCGGGGCCAGTAAAAGTCTCGACTCACCGTGAGATATGTTTTCTCACGGCCACGATGTCCTCCTATAGGAGCATCGTGATACTCGAACATGATCCGCAAACGCAGATCAGTATCATCTGGGATGACAACACGTGGTGTGTCACCAGTAACGGCTGTATAATACGGTAAACCGTTACGAGTAGTGTATCGATCTGATGCAGATCGATACGCAGACGACAATCGTTTCAACGATTCTCGAGATGGTTGTGAGAGATGTGCCAATAACTTCACAATCTCACCATCTTGGGCGTATGCCCGCCTCACATCATCATACAACGTTGTAGATGGGACTGAGGACGTCATAACCGCAACAGTAGCTGTCTCACTGTTGGGTTTCGCGACTGTTTCAAAGTCGGGCCGACGTGACAGTGCGTCAGCGACGACATTAAGTCGTCCTGGTTTGTACTCGACCGTAAAGTTGTATTTTGCAAAGAATGATAACCACCGCGCCATTCGTTGTGAAAGGTGCGGGCTGTTCACTGCCGTGCGTAATGACGCATGGTCTGTGTAAACAATGAAGGGTCTATCTCCTAATAGATAGACTCTGAACTTCGCGAGTGCATACTTCATGGCAAGGAGTTCCTTGTCATGCACTGGATAGTTCCGCTCAGCTGGTTGCAGCTGACGCGACTGATAGCAGACGACTCGTTCAGCGCCTTCAAGGTCATACTGCATCAATGCACAGCCGATTGCGAAATCGCTGGAATCACAGACCACATGAAATGGCCTGTCCTGATCGGCAATTGCTAAGACTGGGGGTTGTGCCAAGCTCTGCTTGATACCATCAAAGGAGTGCTGACATTCAGCGTTCCATAACCACCTCTCGTTCTTTTTCAACAAACGAGAGAGGTGTACAGTCATCTCGGCGTAATTGCGTGAATACTTATGCAAATACGCCGCTAGCCCAAGGAATTTTCGAAGACCTTTGACATCAACCGGCACAGGCCAGTCGATGATCGCCTTGATCTTTTCGGGATCAGGACGTACACCGTTCTTACCAACGATGCACCCAAGAAGTGGCATTTCGTTTGCTGCAAATTTATACTTCTTGAGATTGGCATACAATTGATGCTTTTGCATGATTGTAAGAACCTGTCGGACGTGGTATCTGTGAACCTCAACGTCCGACTTTCCGTCCATAGCCCGACTATGGATGAACACGTCATCGAATTAACTCGGCGCGAATTCTCGTACTGGTCTCAACAGATGTGATACACATCTGTTGAACGTGGAAAGGGCAGTACTAAGTCCTTGTGGCATAACTAGCCATTCCCAGAGCATGCCGCTAGGCGTGATCACTGCGGTATAGGGTATGCCCCATTCTAGCATAAGGATTTGATAGAAGCCATCCATCAAATCCATGGACGAAAAGATGGTACTCTTTGACATACCATCAATGATTACGTCCTTCCTCGGTATCGGCGTCGAAGCCGGTACCGTTGCAGCATTCAACTTGTTAAATGCATGCACAATCCACCTCCCTCCTGTTGCTTTTCACACACAGAAGGTCGGAGAGATATGTAGGGAAGTTGATTCCCTCACATGGCCCGCAGCTAAACGATCGGCAAAGAACTTGTCGATCGCAAGTACTTGTTCACGAGGCAGTGGCCACTGCTTCATGACACAGTACTTCGAGCCTGGTTTAAGCTCGACCTCGTGTCGAATACCTTTATCCTTCGGTAACTCGCACGGAACAGTTTCAGGGAATACATCCTTGAATTCAACCAAATCTTCGTAGAGAGGATTTGTCTTGAGCGATTCCCACGATTGGGAGTCATATCGCTCAACTCGTGTCTTTTCATCGAGGACACTCTCGTCCATCGATGAACTACTGAGAACTCTCTCGTTCTCAGTAAACACTGTTGCTGACCTTACGTCGGCTACACACTCGTCGTCAGCGACGAGTACGCAGATCTGCTCGACTCTTTGCCACTACGCAGATCACGCAAGAACCTTTTATGTTCGAGCGTTGGCAACTGAGTGATCTCCGAAGTCAACTTCGGAGGCGCAATCAGATCAAGTGTATAAGCGCCTACACTTGATCCGTCATTGACTAGGACATTCAATGTCTCTGTCATTTCCTGGGGACTTATTCCCTCAGGCCTCGAAGGACCTATTCCTTTGGCTTCCCGGGGACTTATTTCCGCGGGTTTCGGGGATCTATTTCCGCCGTATTCGTAATCTTGGGACTTATTCCCTTTATTTCCTCTAGCTGGGGTTGCGCAACCACAGCGAGATCCTCTACGAAAGACTCTCCAGTCGATCTAGGATTATCGTTTCGCTTAACCTGAGCGATCGATTGTTTCTCTTCTAGATGTTCCCCGCTAGAAATACATCTTTGTCCCAGTCCACCCGACTTATTCGAGTGGTGGACCTTCGGCGCAGCCTGTGTTTCCTCACAGCCGCCGGAATCTTTGCTCCGAAGTGTAACCTGTTTGTTGCACTAAGGTTTTGTGCAGTCGTACTAACGACTGTACCACAAGTGAGGCCATCTCACTCACTCGTAGTACATCCACACGCTTGTGGACGCTCCAAAACGGTCATTAGATGGCCATCTGATGAACAAGCAGCAGGCACCGTTACTGTTCGACGTTGCCAGTTTACCCGTGGTTCATACCTTCTGAGCCACGGTATTACAAGGATGACATCAAATTTGTCATCCAAATCCAATACGATAAAGTCATCGTCATATTGGGTATCTTCTAGCGCATAGTGGATCTTCACTATAAGCTTCATGACGGTTACGGATGCGCCTGTCGCAAGACGTACCGTCATCCTCGTGTAGGAGGTGTGTCACATTCACCGAGCTTGAAGTAACCATCTTCTATCGATTGGCGTCGCACAAAATTGTTGGACGCCCCACAATCAACTAGAGCTCGAAGGGACAACTTATTCGTCACTTCGAGTTTCAAGGTAATGAGTGAGATCTCATTACCTAGAGCAGCAACGCACAACGTTTGTGTGTTGGGAGCAACCTTCATCAAGAGGCCTACAAATTCTCTTGACGTTGCTGGACCAGTAGGGTGCTCCGCACCTACTGATCCTGTCCGTTTTTTGACGGTCCATCCCGTTGTTGCGTCTTTGAACCAACAGCGGACCCTCGTCCCTGCCCCTTTCTCATGGGTGGACGGTCACTACGCCCAGTGTGGCGAGCAACTGGACGAGGGGCACTACACTCGTAAGCGTAGTGTCCTGTCTTTTGACATCTGTTGCATCTCTGCAACTTCTTGTAGTCTGTAGAGCGAGCCTTCTCGCTTTCTACATAACAGAGTTCCATCGTCTCTGGACCTCCGTTGTCATATCGTCTCGGTTGACGATATGATGTCGAGCTGGCGCGAGCCTGTCTCAGACTGAAGTCTTCCTGCTCCGCAATGGAAATGGCTTGTTCTAGTGAATCTAGTTCAAACCGGAACAGGTGAGTCTTGACGGGACCATCCGCAAGACCCTGCATGAACACCGAAACCAACGTGTGTTCACCCACCGGATTGGAACTTATACAACTCGTGAGATGTCGTATATGTTGCGCGTAAGCGTGCACATCACGCTTACCCTGCTTGAGCTTCAAGAGTTCGGTTCGAGCTCTGAACTCAGCTCTAGGCGGTTCAAACGTTTGTCTGAGCCGCGACTTGAAGACTTCCAACGACCCAAACGCATATGGGTCGTGCAACTTGAGCCCCAGTGCCTAAGTCTTGGCACGTCCTGCCAGATTTGACTGGGCAAATGCAACTTGCATTTCCCCGTCGTCGATGCGACGCGCCCTTATGGCGTCATCCAATTCGACGAACCATCTCAAGAGGGAGTCCTCTTCGATTCCCCTATACTTGGAGATGTCAATCTTCAAGGTCTCGGGTCGACGCGAGTGCATCGACCCACCAGCAGCAGCCTGCTGCTGTCTCAACAGTTCGAACTGTTGAGCACCCTGTTCTCCCAACAACTCTGCTTGTTGAGAACCTTGTTGGTGAAGCAAGGCTACTTTCTCGCGCTCAGCGTCAAGTTCATTTTGAATGAACTTGGCGATAGTAGCATGTTGGGCATCTCTATTGAGAGCCTCTAGCATGACGCTAACAGCATGGATGCCCATGGTTGAACCCATCCGTTCAACCGCATCCCATTCGACATCGCTCAAATGGGAGTAGCCGTCACGCGTAGCGTTAAAGCTTTGGTCATCTTCATCATCCAGCATATTCATGTTGGATGTGAACGTGGTCCTTGGACGTACTACGAAGTGCTACCAGGTGTAACGGGGCACCCTGAAGCTTGTACTGGTGACAGTACAAGCTACTTATTCTGATGACAGAATAAGGCGGTGCCTCGTAACTTCACGTACACTCGTACGTGCAGAGGAAGACGGTAAGAAGAAGCAAGTACTTGGTTAAAGTAAAAAGTAGAACTATATTTATAATAGTTAATGTCTGCAATAAATCACTATTTATCTTCATCTAACTATGTCTAAATACAAACGTGTACATCAACTATCTGCTCACCACTCATTGCGTGCGTCTGTCGTGGCGCGCCTTCGTTGGTTGAAATAATGGCCTATATCAACCAATTAGGAACTACTCGTAAGTGCTACAGAATATTTGTCCTTATGACAATATTCTGAGAATATAACTCTTATAGTTATATTCGATTAACAATTTCTTATAAATTTTCATGTAACGATTCACCCCGTTACACCCCGGGTCGCTGAGCAGCTTTACCCTCCACTGTCAAGACTATCAACATTGTCAATCTGAAAGTACTACGCACCAGCAGACGCCCTGTCCAGGTTGCTAGCTCCTTTTTCCTCCTCTTCTGCTATCGCGCAGCTCCCTGAACTTTGGTGGGATGACTTGCTGCGTTATTTAAAAAGGGGGATGTCGAGCAACTATGTCTTTCATCCGAGACTCGGCAATTGGAAACCACGAGCGCCCCAAAGGAATGGAACCTAATTCGGTATGCAAAGAGCTCTCCGCGGCGCAATAATGGGAAGAGCTCGCCGCCTAAAAAACCTTGGACCTCGCGCGAGCGTGCGACTTCGCTGATGATTTTATTTATAAAAAATTATATCTTTGTCGGCTAATCGCGGCTTACGGCACGATAATGATCTCGTGCCCGGTATTAAGTATTTGTCACACGAAATAGCCACTTCCACGGGATCAAGTTGAAGCAATTGAAGCCTTCTTTATAGAACTTTAATAGGCAGGTCACGTGCGCGAAAGCACATCACCCCATTCCAGACCCACTTTCTGCGTCATGAAAATGAAAGGCGGATTAGGCATCGTTAACGCCTACAGCAAGCTGAACGACAAGACGATTCCATCCCACACTGCGATCCTTGGCAAAGACATATGGTGTTCGACACCATGTCAAGAAGTATCATCTTCTATTCGCTGGACCTCACAAACGGCTTCAAAAATTTCTTGATGCGGTCTCAAGATATTCGTCTTAATTATGTGAGCACACCTAGGGGCACGCTGTGCGAATGACTTGTGATGCCACAGGGCTCAAGAACGCCGCTGTTACATTTAATCGGTCAATGTCGATGTGTTGCACCCACTTTGATACTTCGCTGCTAGCGACTTTCGACGATATTTATATGCATAGTCGCGCCGCTCCCGGCGCACCGACCTCGCGATCCAAATCGGACACCTTCGTCAAGTCTTTAAAGCGATACGTGAGAACAAGCTCTACGCCAACCTGAAGAAATGCATCTTTTGTGCATCAGAGATACCAGTGCTTAGTAGCTATGTCAGCGCGAAAGGGGTTCGTGCTGACCTGGAGAAGATCTCTTAAATCTGATAATGGCCTGTTCTACAAGAGCAGAAAAATTTGTGTCAATAAATGGGTTTTGCCAACTACCTGCATCATTCTGCCAAGGCGTTAGCTGGTGTGGTTATCCCATTATTTCAAGTGTTAAAGAAGGACGCCGCGTAGTCGTGGCGTCAGAAGCACCAAGATGCTTTCGTTAGTATCAAGAGAAGACTTATTTATCGCCAGTGTTAGTGCTACCTGAACATTTATAACCATTCTATGTGGTATGCGATGCGAGTTATTTCTCTTGTGGATGTGCTCTCATGCAACATGACAGCGCAGGCACTAAACGAGTGATCAGATTTCAGTCGCGTCAATTGAAGCCGGCGAAACTAAAGTATCCTGTGCATGATATGAATTTGCTGGCTATGAGATATGCGCTCGTCAACTTTTTTGCTTATACCTGCTTAACGAGCAGACGTTCTCACTCTGTACTGACCATGCATATTTGCGTACGGTGACAAAGACCCTTACTTCGGCCAGAGCATGGTGCGCTAATGGTCGTTTTTCTCTGCATGCAACTTCGTTGTTCATCACAAGCATGATTTTAGTAACATTCTCGCCGACGCTTTATCGCGACGGCCTGACTATGGTCGACGCCCTACTGTCACGGCTACTGTTTCTACCGATAACGATGTAGACGAATGCGTTGCTTGAGTAGAACTAGGTGTGAGCGCGACGCATTGACTGTGGTGAACCTTTTTCGAGTCGAAATCGCGGCAGCTTTCTACCACGATGTCTTCTACGCGCCAATTGTTCGATGATGACGTGATCTATTTGATGTGACACTGCGTGATCTCGCAGCGTCGGTACGAGCACAGATTTTGCCAAATCATTCAACGGCGACTTGCTCACTTACAAGATCGATCTGTTTGAACCTCCAGCCATCGTTGTCCCTCTTGATGACGATTTAAGTTCTCGTGTTCTTCACGATCACCACAACAGTGCGATCAGTGGGCACTTGGGTCGCGAGAAGGAGGTACTTTTCAATGTCTCGAGCGTTTTACTGGCCCCACATGGTAAAGTGAGTCTGCAAATGAATTCGCTTTTGCGAGGTGTGTCAGCATGTCAAACCGAGTCCATCTTACCAAGCCCCACTGTGCTCTCTACCAGTGGCGACCGAGACATAAGACTCATTTAGCATGGAATTTATCTGTGTCTTCCCGCCGAAGCACAAGTCGCACCTGCATTTTTGCGATCTTAAACCACTTAAGCAAGATGATGCATCTTTTCTCCTGGAGCTGTGTCCATTACCACAGAGTACACAGCGACGTTGTTCATTGACATCGCCTTTAAACATCATGGTCTGTTTTCAACAATATTCTTGATTGGAACCCTCGCTTTTCGGCTGCGTTCTGTCGCAGCTGTGTGCCCTTCTGGGAACAAGTCTTCTGATGTATACGGATGCTCATCCCGAGACAGATAAGCAGAATGAGCGCGCAAATTGCGTGCTGGAGGAAGTCCTAAGCAGTTACGACGCTTAGTTCACGTATTGGATTGCGTTTCTCCCCATGACCAAGTTTCAACGATCAAAAAAAAAGAATGCGTCAACCGGAAGAACACCCTTCTTCGTCAACAACGCCCGTCACTCACGTTTCCCTATCCTTCTTGGCATCCCGATAATCTCTACTCATGGTGGATAATAAACACCAGACGAGCTAAAATCAAAGCCGATGCCCCAACTGCAACGGGGTGAATCGTTACATGAAAATTTATAAGAAATTGTTAATCGAATATAACTATAAGAGTTATATTCTCAAAATATTGTCATAAGGACAAATATTCTGTAGCACTTACGAGTAGTTCCTAATTGGTTGATATAGGCCATTATATCAACCAACGAAGGAGCGCCACGACAGACTCGCGCAATGAGTGGTGAGCAGATAGTTGATATGCACATTTGTATTCAGACATAGTTAGGTGAGGATAAATAGTGGTTTATTAACAGACATTAACTATTATAAATACAGTTCTACTTTTTACTTAAACTAAGTACTCGCTTCTTCTTACCATCTTCCTCTGCACGTACCAGTGTACGTGAAGTTTCGAGGCACCGCCTTATTCTGTCATCAGAATAAGTAGCTTGTACTGTCACCAGTACAAGCTTCAGGGTGCCCCGTTACACCTGGTAGCACTTCGTAGTACGTCCAAGGACCGCGTTCACATCCAACATGAATATGCTGGATGATGAAGATGACCAAAGCTTTAACGCTACGCGTGACGGCTACTCCCATTTGAGCGATGTCGAATGGGATGCGATTGAACGGATGGGTTCAACCATGGGCATCCATGCTGTTAGCGTCATGCTAGAGGCTCTCAATAGAGATGCCCAACATGCTACTATCGCCAAGTTCATTCAAAATGAACTTGACGCTGAACGCGAGAAAGTAGCCTTGCTTCACCAACAAGGTTCTCAACAAGCAGAGTTGTTGAGAGAACAGGGTGCTCAACAGTTCGAACTGTTGAGACAGCAGCAGGCTGCTGCTGGTGGGTCGATGCACTCGCGTCGACCCGAGACCTTGAAGATTGACATCTCCAAGTATAGGGGAATCGAAGAGGACTCCCTCTTGAGATGGTTCGTCGAATTGGATGACGCCATAAGGGCGCGTCGCATCGACGACGGGGATATGCAAGTTGCATTTGCCCAGTCAAATCTGGCAGGACGTGCCAAGACTTAGGCACTGGGGCTCAAGTTGCACGACCCATATGCGTTTGGGTCGTTGGAAGTCTTCAAGTCGCGGCTCAGACAAACGTTTGAACTCGCCTAGAGCTGAGTTCAGAGCTCGAACCGAACTCTTGAAGCTCAAGCAGGGTAAGCGTGATGTGCACGCTTACGCGCAACATATACGACATCTCACGAGTTGTATAAGTTCCAATCCGGTGGGTGAACACACGTTGGTTTCGGTGTTCATGCAGGGTCTTGCGGATGGTCCCGTCAAGACTCACCTGTTCCGGTTTGAACTAGATTCACTAGAACAAGCCATTTCCATTGCGGAGCAGGAAGACTTCAGTCTGAGACAGGCTCGCGCCAGCTCAACATCATATCGTCAACCGAGACGATATGACAGCGGAGGTCCAGAGACGATGGAACTCTGTTATGTAGAAAGCGAGAAGGCTCGCTCTACAGACTACAAGAAGTTGCAGAGATGCAACATATGTCAAAAGACAGGACACTACGCTTACGAGTGTAGTGCCCCTCGTCCAGTTGCTCGCCACACTGGGCGTAGTGACCGTCCACCCATGAGAAAGGGGCAGGGACGAGGGTCCGCTGTTGGTGCAAAGACGCAACAACGGGATGGAACGTCAAAAAACGGACAGGATCAGTTGGTGCGGAGCACCCTACTGGTCCAGCAACGTCAAGAGAATTTGTAGGCCTCTTGATGAAGGTTGCTCCCAACACACAAACTTTGTGCGTTGCTGCTCTAGGTAATGAGGTCTCACTCATTACCTTGAAACTCGAAGTGACGAATAAGTTGTCCCTTCAAGCTCTAGTTGATTGTGGGGCGTCCAACAATTTTGTGCAACGCCAATCGCTAGAAGATGGTCACTTCAGGCTCAGTGAATGTGACACACCTCCAACGAGGATGACGGTACGTCTTGCGACAGGCGCGTCCGTAACCGTCATGAAGCGTATAGTGAAGATTCACTATACGCTAGAAGATACCCAATATGACGATGACTTTATCGTATTGGATTTGGATGACAAATTTGATGTCATCCTTGGAATACCGTGGCTCAGAAGGTATGAACCACGGGTAAACTGGCAACATCGAACAGTAACGATGCCTGCCGCTTGTTCATCAGATGGCCATCTGATGAACGTTTTGGAGCGTCCACAAGCGTGTGGATGTACTACGAGTGAGTGCGATGGCCTCACTTGTGGTACGGTCGTTAGTACGACTGCACAAAACTTTTGTGTAACAAACGGTTACACTTCGGAGCAAAGTTTTGGCGGCTGTGAGGAAACACAGGCTGCGCCGAAGGTCCACCACTCGAATAAGTCGGGTGGACTGGGACAAAGATGTATCCCTGGCGGGTAACATCTAGAAGAGAAACAATCGATCGCTCAGGTTAAGCGAAATGATAATCCTAGATCGACTGGAGAGTCTTTCGTAGAGGATCTCGCTGTGGTTGCGCAACCCTTAGCTAGAGGAAATAAAGGGAATAAGTCCCAAGATTACGAATACGGCGGAAATAAGTTCCCCGAAACCCGCGGAAATAAGTCCCCGGGAAGCCAAAGGAATAGGTCCTTCGAGGCCTGAGGGAATAAGTCCCCAGGAAATGACAGAGACATTGAATGTCCTAGTCAATGACGGATCAAGTGTAGGCGCTTATACACTTGATCTGATTGCGCCTCCGAAGTTGACTTCGGAGATCACTCAGTTGCCAACGCTCGAACATAAAAGGTTCTTGCGTGATCTGCGTAGTGGCAAAGAGTCGAGCAGATCTGCGTACTCGTCGCTGACGACGAGTGTGTAGCCGACGTAAGGTCAGCAACAGTGTTTACTGAGAACGAGAGAGTTCTCAGTAGTTCATCGATGGACGAGAGTGTCCTCGATGAAAAGACACGAGTTGAGCGATATGACTCCCAATCGTGGGAATCGCTCAAGACAAATCCTCTCTATGAAGATTTGGTTGAATTCAAGGATGTATTCCCTGAAACTGTTCCGTGCGAATTACCGAAGGATAAAGGTATTCGACACGAGGTCAAGCTTAAACCAGGCTCGAAGTACTGTGTCATGAAGCAGTGGCCACTGCCTCGTGAACAAGTACTTGCGATCGACAAGTTCTTTGCCAATCGTTTAGCTGCGGGCCATGTGAGGGAATCAACTTCCCCACATAGCTCTCCGACCTTCTGTGTGCGAAAAGCAACAGGAGGGTGGTGGATTGTGCACGCGTTCAACAAATTGAATGCTGCAACGGTACCGGCTTCGACGCCGATACCAAGGAAGGACGTAATCATTGATGGTATGTCAAAGAGTACCATCTTTTCGTCAATGGATTCGATGGATGGCTTCTATCAAATCCTTATGCTAGAATGGGACATACCCTATTCCGCAGTGATCACGCCTAGCGGCACGCTCTGGGAATGGCTAGTAGTGCCATAAGGGCTTAGTAGTGCCCCTGCCACGTTCAACAGATGTGTATCACATCTGTTGAGACCAGTACGAGAATTCGCGCCGAGTTAATTCGATGACGTGTTCATCCATATTCGGGCTATGGACGGAAAGTCGGACGTTGAGGTTCACAGATACCACGTCCGACAGGTTCTTACAATCATGCAAAAGCATCAATTGTATGCCAATCTCAAGAAGTATAAATTTGCAGCAAGCGAAATGCCACTTCTTGGGTGCATCGTTGGTAAGAACGGTGTACGTCCTGATCCCGAAAAGATCAAGGCGATCATCGACTGGCCTGTGCCGGTTGATGTCAAAGGTCTTCGAAAATTCCTTGGGCTAGCGGCGTATTTGCATAAGTATTCACGCAATTACGCCGAGATGACTGTACACCTCTCTCGTTTGTTGAAAAAGAACGAGAGGTAGTTATGGAACGCTGAATGTCAGCACTCCTTTGATGGTATCAAGCAGAGCTTGACACAATCCCCAGTCCTAGCAATTGCCGATCAGGACAGGCCATTTCATGTGGTCTGTGATGCCAGCGATTTCGCAATCGGCTGTGCATTGATGCAGTATGACCTTGAAGGCGCTGAACACGTCGTCTGCTATCAGTCGCGTCAGCTACAACCAGCTGAGCGGAACTATCCAGTGCATGACAAGGAACTCCTTGCCATGAAGTATGCACTCGCGAAGTTCAGAGTCTATCTCTTAGGAGATAGACCCTTCATTGTTTACACTGACCATGCGTCATTACGCACGGCAGTGAACAGCCCGCACCTTTCACAACGAATGGCGCGGTGATTGTCATTCTTTGCAGAATACAACTTTACGGTCGAGTACAGACCAGGACGACTTAATGTCGTCGCTGATGCACTCTCACGTCGTCCCGACTTTAAACCAGTCGTGAAAACTGATTGTGGGACAGCCACTGTTGCGGTTATGACGTCCACCATACCATCTTTAAAGTTGCATGATGATGTGAGGCGGGCGTATGCCCAAGATGGTGAGATTGTAAAGCTGTTGATACATCTCTCACAACCATCTCGGGAAACGTTGAAACGATTATCGTCTGCGTATCAATCTGCTTCAGATCGATACACTACTAGCAACGGTTTACGGCATTATACAGCCGTTACTGGTGACACACCACGTGTTGTCATTCCAGATGATACTGATCTGCGTTTGCGGATCATGTTCGGGTATCACGATGGTCCTATAGGAGGACATCGTGGCCGGGAGAAAACATATCTTACGGTGAGTCGAGACTTTTACTGGCCCCGCCAGTATCAGTTTGTGCGAAAGTACGTTCGCGCATGCGAAGTCTGTCAACGAGTGAAGCCAAGTCCTTCACTGTGTGCACCCTTACAGCCTCTACCAGTTCTGGCAGAGTGCTGGGAATCCATCTCAATGGATTTCGTCTTCGGGTTACCCAAAGACGCACGCGGGAATACGGGTATTCTCGTATTTGTTGACAGATTCAGCAAAATGGTACACCTTGTGGCTGTACCAGAGACAATCACGGAAAGTGGCTGTGCTTGTGTCTTTATTGACACCATCTTCCGACTTCATGGGTTGCCCCGTGAACTCGTATCAGACAGAGATCCACGATTCACTGCTGATTTCTGGCGTTCCGTGTTCAAATCACTCGGAACGCGCTTGAAGATGTCAACATCTGATCATCCAGAGTCATATGGTCGGACGGAACGTGCCAATCGTGTCCTTGAAGAGATGCTTCGAGGATACGTACACTCCTTTAAGAGTTGGAGTGAGTTTTTGCCAATGGTAGAGTTTTCCATTAACAACTCGGTGCATGCATCCACGACACATACACCGTTTTACTTGAATGGCTTGCGCCATCCGCGTGTACCCACCTTACTAGAGTGTAACTCTGGTTTAAGGGGGGGAGACTCGCACGAGCAAAAAACGATTTGGTTCACGCTCATCACGCTCTGACGATGAGGTCATTGCGTTTGATGTCGATATCGACAACATCGATATCGAAGAAGATGATGCCAGTGAGAGCGAGGAAGCCCTCACTGAAGAAAAGGTTGATGTCGCTGCAGTGCGCTCACAGCGCACTGAAGCTAACGAGTCATCAGATGAGTTCATACTGGCTCGAAACGGTAGTCCGTTCCATGCAAGACTCCATCGCCGAAGCGGTGGATAAGCAAAAGCAAAACGCTGACAAGAATGGAAGGGCAAACACTCTTTTATTTAATAAAGGTGACTTAGTCCTACTATCTACGGTTAATCTACCAAAGCATGTAGTGACTAACTTGGGTAGCAGTACACTACTACCCAAGTACATCGGCCCATTTCGTGTATTGCACCGCCTAGGCAATGCATACACGATCGAATTGCCACGTAAGATGCGAACGCATCCCACGTTTTACGTTGGTCGGCTTAAGCCGTACCATCAGTACGCTGCTTCTTCCGATGTAGAACGCCCTTGCGCTCAAGCATCTCACGGAGGGCCTTGTGCTCCCGATGGTGGGCATCGACAAGGGTCTGAAGAGCAGTTATCTCCGCCCGAGACCGGTCAATGTCCCCACGAGCTACCCTTATCTCGTCACGCAGAGACGTCAGAGATCTCTCGTTCTCAAGCTGAGCAAAGGCAAACTCAGCTCAATGCTTCAAGACAGTGTCCGCCATTTGGAGACGCCTGTCTCGCTCATGTTCGAGATCGTTGGGTAACCCTTACGTTACGCGATCAAAGAAGCTCTCGGGAACACACGGATCCCCATGATCGTGTGGAAAGCGTCTTTCCTCCTCCTCCACCTCCATTAGAGGACTCTCGCGGTGGCCAGCACTATCTGGTTGAGCAGCTGTTGAACAACCGCGACGTGAACGGACGTCGGACGAGTTATCTCGTCCGGTGGCGCGGCTATCCCCCGTCCTGGGATACTTGGGAGCCCCGCTCCCAACTGATGATCGACGTACTGGGTCTGGTCGAGCAGTACGACGCGGCACATCCTGTGCCGCAGAAGGACCGCCGGAGAAAGTCTTCCCGGCACGGTCGTAAAGGGATTTCAGGTTGTCAATCCCTTCGTACATCTCAGTAGAGATACGTACGCGCCACCACGGGCTATTAGGGAGGTAAGCCTCCTTGGGTGCTCGTGCAGAGTTGTTCACACAACACGGGCACGAGTCTCCCCAAGAGAGGCAGGGTAATCCTTTCTCCCTTGACAGACGATACAGCTTGTAGCGTGCACCTGTTGGGGTTCGCTTTTCAAACTTATCACGAGCTTTGATAAGTTTGTCGTTCCAAGCGTCACGACCTACATCCTCAAGGTTATGGATGTAGGCGTTCCACGCCTGAAGCAGTGAGGGACCATCACGCTTGTGATTCCCACTGTACCATCGATGTCTAAAGAAAGCATCGATGAAGAATTCATTTTCAGCGCGATAGTTTTTCGCGCTGGGGTCAAGGTGATGGATCCTTGACGAATCGAACAATCGTGTCCGACAACGATCACTCGTCGTCGCCAACAACTGATCCACGACAGATTTGGGAGGCATCTATGCCTTCTTCTCAGGAGCGAGACGCAAGACATTGCGATCCCGCTCTTCCTGCGATGTGCCGACAGAAGTACTGGCACCTCGTTGCGAAGTGGTGTCCATAGGAGAACCGACACCACTGTTAGCGCCCGAGTCTTGCGATCTCGAGCGCCTTCGCTTCGGCGATGGTTCATCTGATTCATCAGATGAACCAAAGATGCTACGACGCATAGCATCATCCATGCCACGCTTGGCAGGCGGCTTGGTTTCGATCGCCGTCGATACGGATCCGTCTTCCGTATCAGGAGAGTATGAGACACCGAGCTCGTACTCTGTGAAGACATGAGTGTCTTCATGACGAGCTCCTGCATCACCAGGTGACACAGGCTGAGTCGCTTTAGCAACCGATGAGACATCGGTTGCAGCGGTTTCTGCTTCGGCGTCTGCACAGAGACGTGCGGACGCGCTCTCGGCGGCCTTGCTCGCGCACCGCATGGGCTTGTTAACCATGCGATGAACTGTTGGAAAGTGGACTCGGACCAACAAGTGCAAACCCTGTCCCAAATGATTTGGGACGAGTATCCATTTAATCAATCAGTCACTAAAGTGACTGATGGTTGAGGGGGGGGGTGATGTAACGGGGTGAATCGTTACATAACAATTTATAAGAAATTGTTAATCGAATATAACTATAAGAGTTATATTCTCAAAATATTGTCATAAGGACAAATATTCTACAGCACTTACGAGTAGTTCCTAATTGGTTGATATAGGCCATTATTTCAACCAACGAAGGCGCGCCACGACAGACGCACGCAATGAGTGGTGAGCAGATAACTGATTTACACATTTGTATTTAGACATAGTTGGATGAAGATAAATAGTGATTTATTGCAGACATTAACTGTACTGAATGCAGTTCTACTTTTTACTCTAACCAAGTACTCGTTTCTTCTTACCATCTTCCTCTGCACGTACCAGTGTACGTGAAGTTACACGGCACCGCCTCATTCTGTCATCAGAAAAAGTAGCTTGTACTGTCACCAGTACAAGCTTCAGGGTGCCCCGTTACACCAACGAAGACGTCGCCACCTTGTGACCGTAGCGCTACTGCAGAGCTGGGATTTACTGAAGATACAGCATCGATCGCGTCGCCATGTGACCATGGCGACCCTACGACTTTGTTATTCACAGATGGACTGACATCAGCAGCGTTCGAGACAGCAGTTAACACTAGTCATACTCGCTCATCCATGAGACTTAATTCTTCAACCACTGGATGTCAAAGACACGACTCGGTGAGTCACCGAGTCTTCAATTAATCCCAAGCGCCGTTTAAATATTTCAGATGCTCTCGACGTGCGTCACCTACGCTTTACCCGTTCTTAGACGCATCGCCACAAAGCGTTCGTCCAACAATGTCAGTTTGTCACGCTTTTTGTGGGTGACGCTATTGCAAACGCTGTAGATAAAAAGAAGACGGCCACAGACTAGCGCGGTTGCACCAATTACAAAAAGTCTACTATTGGCGACAATGTTCTACTATCGACAACCAGGCATTTAAGACACTGCTATTACCAACGTTGGTGAATAGAAAAATAATTCACGCCGAAGTTTTTGGCCCCTACAAGGTGATTTAGACTATGTGTGGTGCCTGTGCACTCGACATTCCTACGGCTATGCGACTATATTCAACATTTTGTGTCGGGCGTCTAAAGCAGCATCACCCGTATCTTCTCCCGACGCATTTGAATGTATCGGGGGCGCATAGCGTGGTCCTTGATGTCGCGGAGGCCTCGATGGATCAGGCAGACGCTGACCCCTCAAGATCGCGTTATCACTCCGTAGCGGCTCGTTTGACTGTTTGAAGCGAGGCTCGAGTCGCCGAGCAAACCCGGCGACAGCTGTCTCAGTCGCCAGTGAGCGACTTTCGGCCTCGACCGATAGGTCACGAGCCTTGTTTACGTCGCGGAGCTGCTCCGCGACCTCTTTAACCAAGGCGAGTTCCCCCTCTACAGGCGCATAAGTCATGTGCGCCGTTCCAGAGCAACGATCCTTCTCCAATGGTTGACGGCGCCAAAATTTTACGCTGTATCGTGCTTCGCATTGTCTACCACCGCGCCCTGAAGGTGTCTCCTCGTCACGTGATCGTCGCCGTGACGCTCATCGCGAACAACTGGATACACGACTGTATCGCGTTCGCTGGCTCGAATTCTAGCTGAGAATGGTTCTTGGGAGCCGCGTAAGGCGCTTCTCGAAGACGTTCCGGGCGTAGTGCAGGCATACGAGGCCGCGGTGAAGGAGGGTGCGGTGAAAGAGATTGCAGAAGATAGACAGTCTGCAATATAAGGGGACTTGCTGACCGAGGTCGAGTACAGTTACTCGATCTTACCAAACCTCTCTCAGCCAAGCGCGCTCTTACGACTGGCCGCGCTGTCAGCATCTGATCAAGCGCTCGCTCGTAGAAGCCTGTCCAAGGGCGCTCCTCGTCTGATAGCGGGTATCTGGATAGAAGACTACTCCATGCTGCATGATCAGGCTCCGGCACTCCACTTGACGGACAACGTCGACAACCCTCACGATATTGACAAAGCAGCAATCGCTGGCGGCGTTACTAGACCAGCTGCAGATTCGCTTGCGCAGGTCAGCAACTGCAACATGGCTTCTATCGACTTCTCGTAGCTCCATTAGTTGTGGGAGGGACGCCTCCATGTTCCTGCACGTCACGAATGCTGTCCAAGATGCGTTATGTGATGCTTGGGTCACGGAGAGTGTGACCGTGACGGGCTTGCCCCGTGTTTCTCTCCATCGCCGCCACAATTGGCACATCTCGTCGTTTCTGCGTGTGCAGTGAATGCCACTTCAGTCGCAGAGCCTCCAAGAACGCATTGAATCGACAAAATAGAGTCGAGTTGTGGTCGTTCCGTTTGTTAAAGTGTCTGGAAAATTTGCGCGTTCATCGTTGTCGACTGCGAGCTGGTCGAGGCGACCTCCTATTGCTGGGGTCTGAAGACATGATGCCTTTAATCGTCAAGTCAAATATTTGTTTCTGCGACGTGCGCGGTGCTGCGAGATAGATCGTTTTCATTCCTTTTAATTTATTTTTCGCGCGTTAAAAGCGATTTTGAGTGGGGTGACGAAATGGGGTGTTACCGTTACACTACTTGTTAGGATGCCATTTCTAACAAGTATACATTCAGGTAAACCCTTCTAGGTATACATGTACAAAGTCGGTATTCACTTTAGACAAGTGTCGTGGATGCAGTGTGTCGTGGTCCTTTTCTGCTAGTAAGTGAATGCAGACCCACTATCAGTCAATAGGATGCGACTTCTGATGAGTGGATCTCGTGGCTCAGAAACCACTCGTACTTAGGATGATCTTTTTAAATATAGAAGCAGAGTTAAATTAATCTACAGACGACATGCGTTTACACGTGTGTCTCTTAACTTCCTCGTAAGATCTTAGTGTAGGCACCGTGAAGGGCTCTAGTCCCGTCAAACGCATCAAGCAAGACGAATGCGAGGCCGACTTACGACCCTGAAACTCCATCATCGGGGAAAAATCGTAAAGCGAAGCCAAGCAATACTGCTATAGCCGCCCGACGCAGAACGTCAGGTTAAGACGCAGCGACGTGGGGTTTCCAGCGTGAAAGTATAACTGATCATCTTTAGAAGCTCATGTGGTCCTAAGAAGCGTGGCACGGGATTGCTCAAGCCCAAGTTTGTAGCCGCAAAATCCATTCCACCCACTGCAATCAGTAATACACTCTTATTTGTAACGAACTGTTCATCTTTTACCGGCCATTTTGACCGCATTTTCTTTATCTTTCTCCACTTCAGCCTTATTTGCGTCACGTACAGACGGGGCGGTGTATTTACGTTAGAGTATAAACTTTGACACAGTCGAATCACCAATCAATCACACCTGTAACGAGGCGTCCTTTGTTTGGGGTTCCACATAAACTTTACGTACACAAGTACGTGCAGAGATGGCTAATCTTCTCAAACAGGTAGTTTGAGTAAAGGGTAGAAAGAGAACTGTTTCCAGCATAGTTAAGCTATATATAACTTCACTCTGTATCTAACTAAATTGATCTACATTGTTGTGTGACGACAATATGCTCGCCACTCATTACGCGCGTCTGGCAGCGACTGGTGGTAATCTGTGATTAATACGTCTTTATCAATTATATATTGAGTAGCACATGAATATTATCCTACAGGGGATAACATTCCTTCAAAATTATCCATCTTGGATAATCTTGGCAAGGGAATTGTCACGCTTGACAATCTCCCTATTGACACCGTTTGGTTTTTAAAATCATGTAACGGGCTACCCCGTTACATCCCCCCTTAAGCATCAATCACACGTTAATTGAAATATATTGATTGGGTAAGGGTGACAGCCGTTTGATTTCTCTGGGAAGGGGAGCACTTGCTTGTCAAATTTCAACTTATTTGCCAATTTTATCGCATGGTGTAAAATTCCACGCGAGGTTCTGTCCAAGCAGCAAGAAAGGCAGTTGCACGTGTGCGTGCAGCCGAAGAGGGTGTTTCTCTTGCTTCATCAGCAGGTCATCTATCGCCTGCTCTTGCGATATAGCGACAGGCAGTGCCTGTTGTGAACAGTCTACGTGGTGAGTCACCACGTGCGACAGATACATCCGCCGTGTCTACAGCGGGTACTGCGAAGCGCAATGTAGATGAGCCTAGAATTGAGCTCATCTATTCTGGCGATTTGGATGATGCATCCTACTCGAGGGCGGCACTCCACGCCTCCGGATCATTAGGGGCGGACATTGCAAGAGACAGTTTGACTGGCTCTGGGGAACGTGGCGGTATCATGCTCGAGATCTTCGGATCGAGCGATTCTTCCGACGAAATCTCGCCTCACGCGAGTCCATCTAACGATAGGACGCGTGGTGATGGTGGTGATTCTTCTATGCAGCATTACGAGAAAATCAACTCGAAAGATCGAGCTGCCACTGGTGTCAGTGCGTGTGCTGACACCACTCAAGAGGCCAGGGACCGAAATGGCCTGCGCCACTCTCCTCAAGTGGAGTCTCCTTGGATGTCGTCATCCAAAGAGTTAGATCGAGTGGCTGGCGTGACCACTACACGAGACCGGGCTCCGTTGTTCGACTGCAGGAGGATCTGTCCTCCTAATCCCAGCACGATAACTATCCGTGCTGAAGAAAAGTTCTTCATCGGTGCGTTTTTCAAACATCGGTGGTACAATGGCAACCGTGGTCGAGACGGTAAGGCCTTGGTGCAAGGATGGAATGCCTTCATCCACAACATCGAGTGCATTGTCCGTGAGTCCTGGCTCGGTAAAATTGATGCAGCTCGTATCACGTTTGAATAGCGTAACCCAGTCATTGTATGATACAAGTTGCACCGACTTCCAAGAGAGGCAGGGTTCCCTGTCTCTCGTAAATTAATTCGTGTCTAAGTTGCCTGGACAACTCAGATCGTGCCCCTAGGGAGGCTCACCTCCCTAATGTTCCCTACTGGAGGGCGCGCATTTCTTCGAGGTGGACAAAGGGATAGACACTTTGAAATCACTGTACTCACGCTCAAGGAGGTCGTTTTCCGACGGCCCTTCTTCGAACGCAGGGAGTTGGTCTTGTCACATTGTTTAACGAGACCCGAAACATCAAAGATCATCTAAATACGAGGCTCCCAACTGTCCCAGGCCGGTGGATAGCCACGCCAGCGGATGAGTTAACTCGTCCGGACGCCATTCATGTCGCGGTGGTTCAAAATACGCTCCACCATAAAGCGTTGGCTACTGCCCGAATCCACCAAAAAAAGTGGTGGGGGCGGGAACACCTGATCCGGCTCGAGGGTTGGATCAGCTTGATGTTCAGGAACTGAACCGTGTAACGGAACAGTTACAAGTTGACTTGGCTCATGAACGGACTCGGCATTACGAGCTCCACGACCTTGTAAAGGATAAGTACAATTCCCTAACGCAAGATCGTTCGAAAGACTGTGCCGCGTTTGCGTTTGTGCAACTTGAGAACGAACCTTCGACTCGTTCTCTTCGTGACGAGCTGGCTGTAGCTTTTCGAGACATCGCTCTACTGCGTGAACAGGTCGCTTAGCTAGTGGGCCAGACTGGCTCGTTGAAACGGGAACTTTCAAAGGCTGTCTCGGCCCTAAACCGCGGAGGTGTTCTTCGCATATCGAAACGGGCTCGTACTGATATTACGGGCGGAGACGTCCAACGTAAGACGAAGGACGCGTACGCATCCTATGAGACATTCCGATTGCGTGTGCGTTGCCCATTTGTCGTAACACACCAAATGGACCGATATACTTGGGCAGTTATTTACTGCTGCCCACATTTGTTACTGCGTGTTTCGGATGGTTTACTGCGGAAAGTAAAACTAAGTCTCCTTTATTAAATGAAAGAGCCTTTGATCTTCCATGTTTGTCTGCATTTCGTCTCTGTCTGTCTATTGCATATACAATAGAGTCTTAAACGAAGCGGACAACCGCTGCGCGAGTCAGAAGAAATTTCTCTGCTGTTACATCCTTGTTAACAGCAGTGCACTGCTGATAGAACGTTGTCTTCACTAGTGAGAGCGTCATCGTCCTCACTGTGGCAGTCGTTGGCGATGCTGAATATACCCGCATCGTCTTCATCATCGTCATCGGTGTCGATGTGATCGACATCGGCATTTATCACGTCGACACCATCGTCGACGGGGATGAGCAAGAAACGGATCGATTTTTGTTCGAGCGAGTCCACCCCCAACTAAAACTGGGGTCACACTCTAAGAATGCGGGTAAACGTGGATGGCGTAGACCATTCACGAAGAACGGTGCATGCGCTGTCGAAGCGTGGACCGAATTGTTGATGGCAAATTCTGCCATCGGCAAGAACTTACTCCAACTCGTAAACGAGTGGACTTATCCTCAAAGTATCTCTTCGAGAACGCGGTTGACGCGTTCCGTCTGACCGTCTGTTTCGGGATGATCAGAAGTTGACATCGTCAAACGTGATCCAAGCGAACGGAACGCGGATTGCCAGAACTCCGCTGTGAAGCGGGGGTCCTTATCGGACACGACTTCATGGTTTACCCCGTGAAGTCGGAAGATAGTATCGATGAAGACACGCGCACAGCCCTGGGCTGTGATTGAATCCGAAACAGCAACAAGATGTACCATCTTGCTGAACCGATCAACAAACACAAGAATACCAGTATTCTTGTGAACGTCTTTGAGAAACCCGAAGACGAAGTCCATCTATACGGACTGCCAATACTTTTCCAGAATCGGAAGAGGCTGCAAGGGTGCGCGGGATAAAGGACACCCGTTGACATACTTCGCAAGCGCGAATGTAACTACGCACAATCTCTTACTGGCGGGGTTAGTAGAAGTCACGACTTACCATGAAAAAAGTCTTTTCTCTACGGCGATGCCCACTTTTTGGGGCATCGTGACACTTAAACATGATGCGCAATCGCAAATCATTATAAGCCGGAACGACGACACGAGGTGTGTCGCCGTTGACTGCTGTATAGTACAGAAGTCCATCACGAACCAATTCCGTTTGGTTAAAGAGCTGTATTGAGACGACAAGCTTTTCAAAGCTTGACGGCGTGGTATAGACACACGATGCATGAATTGCAGAAGAGACTCATCTCCTGCGTATGCTCTTCGCACGTCGTCGAGCTATTCGACGACAGAACACTCACTGATAGTGTTGCAACAGTGGGATCACCCCAACTGTTGTGTTGAGCAGTAGGCTCGAAATCGGGCCGACACAAAAGAAGTTCAGCGACGACATTAAGTCCACCTGTTTGGTACTCGACGGAGAAGTTGTACTCCACTAAGAAAGACAGCCACATCTCCATTCGTTGTAAGAGATATGGACTGTTTGCGGCCGTGCGTAACGGTGCATGTCGGCATAAACGATAAAGGGCCTTTCTCCTAAGCGATATACCCGAAACTTAGCCAGTGCGTATTTCATGGCAAGGCGTTCCTTGTCATGCAAGATTTGTTACACTCAGCTGTTTGCATCTGGAGCGGTTTAAAATAGACGACGCGCTCAACACCGTCTGAGTCGTACTGCATTAACGCGCAGCCGATTGCAAAGTCTCTGGTGTCACAGGCCACATGAAATGGTCTATCCTGATCTACAATGGCCAACACAGGAGATTGCACCAAGCTTTTCTTGATGCCTTTAAAAGAGTTCTGACACTCAGCGCTCCATGACCACCTCTCCATTTTCTTTAGTCGACGAAAGAGATGAACAGTCATCTCGGCATGATTGCGCGAGTATGTGTGCAAGTACGCCGCCAAGCCTAGGAACTTTCGAAGTCTCTTGAAGTCGACTGGCACAGGCCAGTCGCTAATCGCTTTGATCTTTTCCGGATCAGGGCATTCACCGTGTTTTACCCACGGTGTAGCCAAGAAGTGGTATTTCGTTCGCTGCGAATATACACTTCTTGAGGTTCGCGAACATCTTATGCTCTCGCATAAGTGTAAGAACCTTCCGGACGTGTATTCTATGAGCCTCCACGTCCGTCTTTCCATCCATAGCCTGGCTATGGACGAAGACATCGTCAAAGTAACTCGGTGCAAAATCTCGCACCGATCGCAGCAGGCTCGTAGCACATCTGTTAAACGTTGCGGGGGCGTTACTTAGCCCCTGTGGCATCAATAGCCACTCCTAGAGCAAACCACTGGGGGGGGTGCTCACTGCTGTGTAAGAGATATTCCGTTCACGCGTGAGGATCTGATAGAATCCATCCATCAAATCCATGGATGAAAGGATGGTACTCTTTGCCATGCCATCTATGATGACGTCCTTTCTTGGTATCGGCGTCTGAGTCGGTACCGTTGCAGTCTTCAATTTGTTGCAAGCTTGCACTATCCGCCACCTTCCTGTGGCCTTTTGCACACAGAAGGTCGGAGAGCTGTGTGGGGATGTCGATTCCCTCACATGATCAGCCGCTAAACGATCGGCAAAGAATTTGTCAATTGTTGTGACCTATTCACGAGGCAGTAACCACTGCTTCATGACACAGTATACTAAACCGGGTTTCAGTTAGATCTAATGCCGAGTGCCTGTGTCCTTAGGGAGCTCGCATGTCACGTATTCCGAGAAAACATCCCTGAATTCAACCAAATCTTTGTAAAAAGGTTTTGTCTTCAAAGCCTGCCAAGATTGAGACGTGTATCGCTCAATCCGAGTCTTCTCATCGAGGACACCCTCGTCCATAGATGAGCTGCTAAGAACCCGTTCGTTCTCAGCAAACACTTGTGCCGCCCGAATGTCGGCGACTTACTCTTCCTCTGTGACGAGTACGCAAATCTGCTGGATCTTGTCACTACGTAGATCTCGCAAGAATCTTGTAGATTCTAGCGTTGGCAACTTGATTACATCCGAAGCTGACTTCGGAGGTGTAACCAGATCAAGTGTACAAGCGCCTACACTTGATCCGTCATTCACCAAGCCATCCAATGCCTCGGTGGTTCCCTGGGAAACATCCGCAGGTGGTTGGGTATCCACACCCTCGACATAATGTCTTGGGAGTTACCACTCTCAGGAACGCTGGACCTTTCTTCCATTTCGTGTACTGACTGTAAGTGTGATACCACAGTCACGTCTTCTTCGACCGACTCTCTTTCAGTCGATCGGGCTTGCTCTACGATCGACTCTCTGTTGATCGATCTGGCTCAAACGTGTTGTTCATCATGACAACACTTACCTCTTTTCTCGGATGCACACTTCTTGGTGTGCTTCCGAGTTCCATTCCACTCGATCTCTTCGAGTGGTGAGCCTTCGGCGCAGCCTGTGTCTCTACATAGGTGCCGGAAGCTGGTTCCACAGTGTAGTGGCCTTCTACACTGTGACCTTGTGCAGTCATAGTAAAGGCCGTACCACGAGTGAGCCACAGCACTCACTCAAAGTACAAGCACACGCTTTTGGACGCTCCAAAACGTTCATCAGATGGCCATCTGATGAATAAACGGCAGGCATCTTTACGGATCGATGTTGCCAGTTCACCCGTGGTTCGTACCTTTTAAGCCATGGCAGACCAAGGATGACATCAAATTTGTCATACAAATCCAGTACGATGAAGTCTTCATCGTACTGCTTTCCTTCTAGCGTGTAGTGGATTCCCACTACACGTTTGTTCACTGTTGCGGATGCTCCTGTGGCAAGGCACACCTTCACCCTCGTGGAGGCAACTCTCGCTCAATGTAGTTGAGCCTACTAACTTCTAGATACTGGCATCGAATAAAACTGTTCGACGCCCCACAGTCAACTAGGGCGCAAAGTGACATTCCACTTGTCACTTCGATTTTCAAAGTGATGAGGGGCACCCCATCACTTGGGGCAGTAACACACAGCGACTGTGTGCTGGGAGCAATCATTTTCAAGAGTCCTGCAAATTCTCTTGACATTGCTAGATCAGCAGGGTGCTTTGCCCCTACTGACCGTGACCGTTTTTTGGTGGTCCGACTTGTTGTCCCGGTTAAGCGACATGGTTGTACCCACGCCTTGGACCTTTTCTCGGCCAACGGCGGTCATCACGTCCTGTCTTTGGACGTGATGCGGTGCTTGGGACACTACACTCATTAGCGTAGTGCCCAATTTTCTGACAGCGACGGCATGTTGCTGTTCGCTTGTTACTCAGAAAGCGAGAGTTCTCGCTCTCGACGTAACAGATGTCCATTGGTTCGAAACCTCCTGTTTTCTGTCCTCTCGTTGGACGTTAGCTTGACGAGTTAGCCTGAGACTGGCTCAGGCTGAAGTCTTCTTGTTCAGCATACTCTATCGCCTTTTCCAGCGTATAGAAGTCCTCTCGGAACATGTAGGTCTTAACCGACCCATCTACAAGACCGTAGACAAACACGTTGATCAATGTGCTCATCAGCATGGTTTTCCGTGACGCTACTCGCACTGTAGCGGTGCTACACAGCTCTTTAAGTCAGAGGAAGACTTCCTCAACAAGCCAACGGCTTAAGGCTGACAGCCTTTTAGCTCTACGGAACTACTAAATCAAGTTATAGAGTTTCCCAGTTCTACGGAACTCGGGTGGACTCTACGAGCTAACAGCTCAGATACTGTAGTTCTAAGGAACTACACGCACAATGTGCGAAATGGGAATACTGGAGTCTAAAGACTCTCTAACCCACGACAGTTCTAAAGAAATGTCCAACGCAAGGTGCGAAAGTGGGGGGAGTCGAGGACTTCTGCTCAAAATGAGAACTGAACTTTATACAGATTTTACATCAACGAAATCCTACTTTATGTACCCTGTATTATCCTGAATACAAATGCTAGCATTCGAAATAAATGGATGGTTGCCACATCACTCAGTCATCAAATGATGACGGTACAAAGTATGCACACGGTAAGTACCGTAAACCTTGGATATCGATCAATCGATATTCTCTTGCTGATATAAAATCTAAGGTCACACACATCCATCCATATCATTTTATGGGAGGTCTTTGACCGATTCAGCCAAAGGCTAGTGTGACCATGTTACACCCTCCCCACCAGACTGACGTTACCACAAGCGTCACTCGACTCAACTCATTGTCCTATTGAGACTTGTTACAAAGTAACGCACCCACATGGACCGACCCGGACACCTCCTTAAAGCTTATGGATCTAGCCGAATTTCTTGGTGTCGAGAATGTGCAATTTGACAGTGATAGTGATACCAAAGCCGAGGGGGAGGAGCAATCCAAACCCAGCACACCTGTGCGTTGGGACATTCCTCATCCGTCACCCAATTCTTTCCTCGAACGTAGTGCCGCGACTGCGCTAGCAGCGCTGGGAGCAATGTCTGCCATAGATACATCCATTATCACTAACCCGCTCGATGAGGAGCAACAACGCATGCTAGATCAAGCGGCAAGCGCACGGCGCAAGTCAGAAGCTCAGACAACATTGCAACGACACAGTGAATATACGTTTACTCCACCTGGCGTGTAATAGCTCATTCGTCAAGCGTCACGCCATACGTTGGCGACATGGGCCACTGGCCCCAAGGCGAAAACGCCCACTGAACTCGAATTTTGCAAGGCTCTTTGAGAGAGGTACTTAGAACCTACTGTGTTGACTTTGAGTCAGTACAGATAACGGCTGCAAAAGCAGGCCCAAGGAATACCGGTTCCACAAATTAGGGGGTTACCTGTCATTTTGTCCGAAGGTGAAGACGAAACTGCGGAGGACGATATGTTCATCCGCTGGGTGCATGGCGATCGACGCCTTAGTAGCAAGCACGTGCTGCGCGAAAGTGCCAGTGTGGCAGACGTTCGTCTAGAGCGAAAGCTTCGCTATGACTTCGCGAAGTTAAAGACCAGAGGCCGTCTGAGGGGAGTTTTACGCTCCCGCTATGCTTCGGCTGCCTCTGCAGACACGAGTTCACGTCAATCTTCTGACACGAATCGCCCGCTCTCACTACGACGAGTGAGCAGCGTGACGCTCGTCAAGACGAGCTCGGCCGTGGCGCTTAAGAACGTAACGGGGTATAGGCAGTCTTGCTGAAGGGGAATCTCATACTCCCATGAGTTTTCAGACGCAGGGTACCCACGCCACTTCACCAGATATTGGCAGTGACCATGACGACGAAGTCGCTGAAGTAACCGCTCCACATGGAGCTGTGAGTTCCCTTGATTACCACGCAACGACGGTAAAGGGCGGAGCATCGGCTGAAAGCCATGCTGAGTTGGCGAAGAAAGTGGATGATTTCCGTGAGACATTGGGTCAGAGTCAGAACGCCCTGGGCGAAGCCCGATCTCGTCTGGCGACGTTGGAAGGCGATCGCGCCCGTCTTTAGATGATGGACCCACGTCAAACTCGTGTCGAGGCTCAACTTGACCTCTTAATTCGGATGCAACATCCTGTGGCAGCGCCAATATACGCGACGTAGGCGCCTCCAAGTCAACATAGGACGGATCCCGTTATGGCTTAAGCAGGGTGACTCAGAAGACGGGATGTGTACGCAATTTGCGCGGCAAGTTAAGCGTATACGCAAGGCCCTTCTTGGCCACGACGGTAATAGTTCCAATGAAGCGCGGACGCAATTTCGTTTAAAAAAGAGCTGACGCTACATTTGTAGGTAGATTTTTGAGCGTTTAGCAAGACTTGGTCTCCGACCTCATACCTTTCAATACAATTTCTGCCTTTGTCACATGCTCATTTCTTTTATTTATCTTGGCTGCCAGCCATTGCATTTCGCACATGTCGTAAGACATTCAACCTTGTTGCAAGGAGCTCACCAGCCTGTTTATAAACAGTGGCAGGGCTGACGTCAGTCGATCGGCCATCCCTCCCCCATCAAGCCCGGAACCACGGAGTGGTATCGTCAATGGGACGCGCGGATGGGTGAGGCCGTTTTCATAGAACGGGGTGTAGCCAGTCGATGCATGAACCGAATTGTTCATGGAAAATTCGACCACCGGAAGCATAGAGCTCCAACGCCTAGGCGTATCTGCGCAAACGCTGCGCAAAATGTCACTACTGACACGATTAACACGTTTAGTTTGACCATCGGTCTGCGGATGATCCGCGGTGAACATGTCCAATCTGGTGCCGAGCACCTTGAAGATGGACTTCCAAAATTTCCCGTAAAGCGAGGATTGTGATCTGAAATAATTGCCATAGGCAAACCGTGTTGACGAAACACGCAATCGATAAACAGCTGTGCTGTACGTTCACAATCAATCGGAGCCGGCACAGTCGCTAAATGAGTCATCTTACTCAAACGGTCAACCAAAAGACCACAATACCGGTATTGCAGTCCAAATCTTTTGGCAAACCAAACACAAGTCCATACTGATGGATTCCTAACAACCCGTGGGAATAGGCAAACTCGCCAAAGGCGCAGCCGCCTGAGCGGAGCTTTTGACCCGTTGAAACGTTTCACACGTACGCAAATATGTGCTCATCCATTTATACAATTTAGGCCACTACTGATGTTGGCTGACCGAGCCATAGGTCTTCTCTCGACCGAGATGACCGCTCAAAGCTGTATTACGCGCCTCAAAGAGGATACGGTACTTCAATTCCTCATCATTAGGTACTACGATGCGCGGAGTATCCGCCGTATCCGTGCTATAGCACAAGAGACCATGATCAAACGAATGTCGATGTAGCCCTGCACGCGAGCGTACCGACAATTTAATGTCCGAGAATTTAGACCTATCACAACCGAGTGCGCGTAACAACGCGACACACTGATCATTCTTGGCGTAAGCCGCACGAATTAAATCAGGGATGAAAGACGACAGAGTCGTATCATGAGCAAGCTCATAATCCGGCCTGCGAGATAACGCGTCGGCCAAAGAATTTTGCCTTCCTGGTTTATACTTCACCTCGAAGTTATATTCGGCAAGGAAGGAAAGCCAACGAGCCATTCTCTGTGAGAGATAAGGCAACTGTATCGCAGTGCGTAATGACGCATGATCTGTATAGATCACAAACGGTTGGAGCCAAGCAGATGTACTCTGAAATTGACAAGAGCGTACTTCGTAGCAAGTAGCTCTTTGTCATGAACTGGATAGTTCTTTTCAGCAGCTTTTAGCTGGAGAGACTCATACGCAATGACCCGCTCATGTCCATCGACATCAGTTTGCAACAATGCACTGCCAATGGCAAAATCAGATGCGTCACAGACGACAGTGAAAGGTCGTTCCAGTTCAGGCAAAGCCAAAATTGGAGCACGAAGGAGACTCTCCTTAACAGCTTAATAAGATTGAGCCTGGATTGTGTCCCAACTCCAAACTGCATACTTCTTAAGGAGGTTGTTAATGGCCTAGCCATATCTGCGTAGTTCGCACTGTACTTATGTAAGTAATTGGCTAAACCAAGCCATTTACGCAAGTCTTTTGGGTTAGACGGAACCGGCCAATCCACAATGGATTTAATTTTAGCGTGGCCTACGGGATCTGCCCGTAGGCCACGCTTTCCAATGAAGAACCCTAGAAAAGCGATTTCTTCAGCACCGAAAATGCATTTGGATGCATTTGGATGCATTTGCATACAACTTGTTTGTGCGCATGCACCTGAGCACTGCTCGTAAATAGTAACTGTGATTTTCCACATCTGATCTTCCTTGTTCTGCACGGCGATGGACAAAAAAATTCATCAAAATAGCTTTGTGCATATCCTCTATGAGGGCGGAACAACTGCGTCACAAGACGATTAAACGTAGCCGGGGCGTTAGATAGCCCTTGTGGCATAACAAGCCACTCCCAGAGCATACCGCTCGGAGTACTCACCGCTGTTAGCGGAATATCACTTGCTCGCATAAGCAGTTGGTAATAACCATCGACTAAGTTGAGTGCACTGTACAATGTACATCCTGCCATATTGTTCTGAAACACATCCTTTCCAGGAATAGGCGTCTTCGCTGGTATAGTTGCCGCATTGAGCTTGTTGTAAGCGTGGACAATACGCCACTTGCCATTTGGCTTTTTGACACAAAATGTCGGTGTTGAGTGTGGAAATTTGCTCACCCGCACCATGCCTGCCGCGTGCTTTGCACGAAAGAACTCGTCAATAACGTCACACTGTTCCTTATGCAATGTACATTGACGTGTAACTCAATATTTGGTCCCAGGGACCAGGTCAATTTCATGGCGCACACCTCTGTCGGGAGGTAGAGTGGATGGTCGATCATGACACACCACGTCCTGAAATTCCTTAATTAAAGGATGGAACGGATCCAAAGGATCTTTAAGGATATAAGATTCACTGCGAGCACTGAGTGCAACTTTCATGTCCTCAAGGACTGTCTCATCTACAAGGAATGACGAGTTCAACTCAATCTCAGGTCTAAGGACCACCATATCGGACAAAGCACCAGCCTTCAAGGCTTAATGACATTTGTCTACAGACATTTTGTTACGGGGTTGCACGAAATTATGGTACTTTGTACCAGAGGTGTACACGCCTGAGGTTACACCTTTGTGAATGTGATATAGAATATCTTATTGGTTTGTAGGGGCTGACGAGTGTCAGCCATTGGGTACGAAAGATCTTTGAGTAGGATTAAGATATTCTATAGGCTTTAACAAAAATAAAATCAGTTCCCATTTTGATCGGAAGGACACGTGGCTTGCGATCCGTCTTAATCGTTGATCACTGATCACTAAGAGTTAGCAACACCTCCTTGAGGTAGCTACTCTTGAGCACTGAGTGCTGTCGATTCACTGAATCGTTAGGTCCCACTGGAACAGGGATCTGAAGCTGTAAAGCTTGTTGACTCGCAAAGTCGTTAGTTCTTTAGAACTAAGTTGTTCGTAGAGCGTTAAGTCTTCCTCTGACTTAAAGAGCTGTGTAGCTTCGCTACACATGGTAGCACTCGTAGTCAATCTACGCCTGAGTCTTTAAGACTGATCCCCTATGAGGATGGAAAATCCCACTCCCCTATCTGAGGCCCAAAAGGTCGCGCTTGATAAGCTGAACGCATCTTTGGGTCCCGAGCACGTGGATTTTCTTGTTTCACAAGGCCCTGAGGTGCTAAATGCACGTGTTGAAGGCTTCATGCAGTATGAAGCGACCCTTCTAGGGAAGGTCCACGACCAAGTAGCGTCGGCTATGCCTACACGTTACGTGTCTGTACCAGACGAAGAGGCTAGGCCACGTACACTTAGAGGGGAGGTTAAGAATTCCTCCGGTAAAAAGGGTGAAAACCTCATCTTCTGGATCAGTGAGATTGAGATGGCCATGAGATCAGGCCTGATCAAGCTTGAACTTTAACAGGTCGCGATGTATATCTCAAATCTCGATAAAGAGCTAGAGAATGGGCCTTGACGTGTAGCACGTCGGTCGACTTAGCATTTCCCACGTGCGAGTCACTAAAGTCACAATCAGTACAGGTGTTATCACCAAATAACCTAGCTTGACGCGTGCGTTCACGCTTTTTATTTACCCATCAGGATAAGAAAGAGTTATCGGACTATGTCCAAGAGTTGAGAACTATTAAGGCTGCAATGCAGTCTGACCCTCTGCCTGATGCAGATCATGTGACTATCTTTATGGAAGGTCTTCGTACTGGCATTGCCAGAACCGAAGTGGTTTTAGTTCATCCCTCAACTTTCGAAGAGGCCGTGAGAATTGCTCTTAATGCTGAGCATACCTTCAAGTCGGTCAGGCTTGGCTGGAATGGGTACAACCCTAGCTCTGCGGGAGCAAACTCCACGAGTGGTCCGGCCTTTAATAGGCCGGAACCGATGGATTTCAGCTATGCTGAAGATGAAGGTGAAGTTGAATTTCAAGCTGCTGAGCAGCAAAGCGTCATATGGAGATGTTTTACGTGCGGAAGCACTAAACACTTGCGGCCTGGTTGCCCTTTGCGTAAGAAGCGCCAGGCTACAAGCCAACACTCGACCCTGAGTCAGAAGTCTGGCATGGCACGGGGAAATGCCGACACTCAGTAGGCGCGGGGCGCCCTACTGGGAACGAACTAGGTTCTGGTACACCTTTAGAAGGTAAAGGAATGCAGGGCTTAGCCCCACAGAGTATCATACCTACAGGTTTGGTGCGTGGATACAAGTATGGCTTGTTGATCGCCGAGGCGAAAATTAAGATCTTTGAGAAGCCTTGGTCGATATTGATCGATTCTGGAGCCTCTTGCAATTATGCTCGGCGCCGTTCCCTTGAGGGAAGTCAGCGTTATGCTGAGGCGCTGAAAGCGCGTGAGGGTGATTCTATCACGGTTCGTTTAGCGACTGGAAGTCGCGTAACTGTGCCTAAAGTTCCGTTGAACTTAGGTATAAAGTTTATAGACTTTGACAGTATTGAGCGCTGTCTTGTCCTGGATTTGGACTCGAGATACGATCTCATCCTAGGTATGGATTGGCTTGAACGCCATGAACCATGGGTTGATTGGAGGTCTAAGACCTTAGGCGCTACGCGCAATGTTCCTAGCGAAGCTTTGGAGAATCATGAACCCACCTTCGCTAGGCAACTGAAGCGCTATTGGCGCGAGCCTTTGACAGAAGATGTCAATGTGCTGGATACCGGAATGTCTGAGTTATCTAACTCCAATATAACAAACATGAGTTTCGAACCTAGCTCGTCTAAAACTAGTGAAACGGCACGTACTCCGTTGAGTGTTACTCGTTGTAGTAACGAGTTTCTGCATGCTGAAAGCATAATTGGCCTAGACCCGAGTGATCAAGGATGCGAAACCTTTGATGTGTGTATGGTGGCACGTGAAACTACACCGAGTGTGGACGGCCGTGAGGGCACCACGCTTAACGCCGGTAAAGGCGTTGTTGGCGATACTCCGTATAGTGTGGGCGGCCTTGAGGGCATCACACCTAATGTCAGTAATGATACTGTAGGCGATACGCCGTATAGTGTTGGCGGCCGTGAGGGCACCACACCTAATGTCGGTAATGACCTTATCGGCGAGACGCCGTTAAATTTGAGGCTAGGCCCGCATGATACACGTGAAGTGGCACGTTTCAATCCACTGGGTGAAGTGCTCGAGTTGCGTAACACTTCACCGGATGTCGGTCAAGACAAATGCTCTCGTATAGAGCGTACTATGGTTGGTAGTAACCATGGGGACAATGTTTTCCCGACCCCTAAGGGGTGTAAGGTCTCGAAGAGACGATCGAGACGCCGGGTAGCAACTTTTAAGCGTCAGGCGTCCTCACAGTCACATGGTGATAGTAGTAATACACTATTTACACTTGATAATGGAGTGACAGTTCAGGTTGATGGCAGTGTTTGCCTTGAAACCCTTCCATCTGTGGACGCTCTTTGTGAGCTAGACAAAATGTCTGATGGCGAGTTTAGCTAGGCCTTAAAGTCAGGAGAGTTATCCGAGTTAGCGGTCATTAGACCTGATACTGATGGTACTTCTTCCTCGTAAATGGTCGTGTCTCTCCTAGAGGACATGAAAGTTGCACTCAGTGCTCGCAGTGAATCTCCTATCCTTAAAGATCCTTTGGATCTGTTCTATCCTTTAATTAAGGAATTTCAGGACGTGGTGTGTCATGATCGACCATCCACTCTACCTCCCGACGGAGGTGTGCGTCATGAAATTGACCTGGTCCCTGGGACCAAATATTGAGTTACACGTCAATGTACATTGCATAAGGAACAGTGTGACGTTATTGACGAGTTCTTTCGTGCAAAGCACGCGGCAGGCATGGTGCGGATGAGCAAATTTCCACACTCAACACCGGCATTTTGTGTCGAAAAGCCAAATGGCAAGTGGCGTATTGTCCACGCTTACAACAAGCTCAATTCGGCAACTATACCGGCGAAGACGCCTATTCCTGGAAAGGATGTGTTTCAGAACAATATGGCAGGATGTACATTGTACAGTGCACTCAACTTAGTCGATGGTTATTACCAACTGCTTATGCGAGCAAGTGATATTCCGCTAACAGCGGTGAGTACTCCGAGCGGTATGCTCTGGGAGTGGCTTGTTATGCCACAAGGGCTATCTAACGCCCCGGCTACGTTTAATCGTCTTGTGACGCAGTTGTTCCGCCCTCATAGAGGATATGCACAAAGCTATTTTGATGAATTTTTTTGTCCATCGCCGTGCAGAACAAGGAAGATCAGATGTGGAAAATCACAGTTACTATTTACGAGCAGTGCTCAGGTGCATGCGCACAAACAAGTTGTATGCAAATGCATCCAAATGCATTTTCGGTGCTGAAGAAATTGCTTTTCTAGGGTTCTTCATTGGAAAGCGTGGCCTACGGGCAGATCCCGTAGGCCACGCTAAAATTAAATCCATTGTGGATTGGCCGGTTCCGTCTAACCCAAAAGACTTGCGTAAATGGCTTGGTTTAGCCAATTACTTACATAAGTACAGTGCGAACTACGCAGATATGGCTAGGCCATTAACAACCTCCTTAAGAAGTATGCAGTTTGGAGTTGGGACACAATCCAAGCTCAATCTTATTAAGCTGTTAAGGAGAGTCTCCTTCGTGCTCCAATTTTGGCTTTGCCTGAACTGGAACGACCTTTCACTGTCGTCTGTGACGCATCTGATTTTGCCATTGGCAGTGCATTGTTGCAAACTGATGTCGATGGACATGAGCGGGTCATTGCGTATGAGTCTCTCCAGCTAAAAGCTGCTGAAAAGAACTATCCAGTTCATGACAAAGAGCTACTTGCTACGAAGTACGCTCTTGTCAATTTCAGAGTACATCTGCTTGGCTCCAACCGTTTGTGATCTATACAGATCATGCGTCATTACGCACTGCGATACAGTTGCCTTATCTCTCACAGAGAATGGCTCGTTGGCTTTCCTTCCTTGCCGAATATAACTTCGAGGTGAAGTACAAGCCAGGTGAGCAAAATGCTTTGGCCGATACGCTATCGCGTCGACCTGACTATGAGCTTGCTCATGCTACGACTCTGTTGTCTTCAGTACCTGAATCAATCCGTGCTGCATATGCCAAGGATGATCAGTGTGTAGCTTTGCTACGTGCGCTTGGGAGCAGTGAGTTTAAAGACTCGGACATCGATTTGTCGGCACGTTTTCGTGCCAGGCTACATTGATATTCCATCGATAATGGCCTGTTGTGCTATAGCACGGATATTGAGGATGACCCTCGTATCGCTGTACCTTATGATGAGGAATTAAAGTATTGAATTCTCTATGAGGCACATGATACTGCTTTCAGTGGTCATATCGGTCGTGTGAAGACTTATAGCTCGGTGAGCCAAAGTTACTGGTGGCCCAAACTTTATAAGTGGGTGAGCACCTAAGTGCGTACGTGCGAGCCGTGTCAACGGGTTAAACCCTCGAGACATGCGGAGTCGCCGCTGGCTAGTTTGCCAGTACCCACTGGTTGTTGGGGGTCCATGAGCATGGATTTTGTGTTTGTCCTACCGAAAGATTCGGAAGGCAACACTGATTTTTTGGTCTTTGTTGACCGATTAAGCAAGATGGCTCACTTAGCGGCTGTGCCGGATAGCATCGATGCTGAAGGTACAGCAAAGCTGTTTATCGACCGTGTGTTTCACCAACATGGCTTGCCGGTGGCAATTATCTCTAATAGAGACCCCCGCTTCACTGGGCAGTTTTGGAAGTCTATCTTCAAGGTGCTGGATACTCGGTTGGACATGTCCACAGCGGATCATCCGCAGACCGACGGTCAAACTGAGCGTGTTAACCGCGTCATCAGCGACTATATGCGCAGTTTTTGCGCTTATACGCCTAGGCGTTGGAGCTCAATGCTCCCTGTTGTTGAGTTTGCGTTGAATTACGCTGTTTTTGCCTAAACAGGCTTTACTCCGTTCTATATAAACGGTCTCACTCACCCTCGCGTTCCGTCAACGCTGTCACTACGTGAATCAGGGCTTGGTGGGGGTGAGGTTGCCGATCGGCTTGCTGATATCAGCCCTGCTACTGTTCAAAAACAGGTAGGCGAGTTTCTCGCAACGCGATTAGATGTCTTAAGACATGTGCGCGACGCAATGGATGATAGCCAAGATAACCTAAAGCAACAAGCTGATGTCAAAGGCAAAAATTATATTGAACGTTATGAGGTCGGAGACCAAGTACTACTCAGTGCTAAAAATCTACCTCCAAAAGTAGTGTCTGCTGTCTTTAAGACAAAGTTGCGTCCAAGCTTTATTGGACCGTTTACGGTCACGGCCAAGAAGGGACTTGCGTATACGATAAACCTTCCGCGTAAATTGCGCACACATCCAGTATTCTACGTAGGCTTACTTAAGCCGTACCGGGATCCTTCCTATGTGAACTTGGAGGCGCTTGCGCCGACGACAAGGGCGCTGCCCCGGATTGCTGTAGGCGAATCATCAAGTCCAACTGAGCCTCGCTCCGAGTTTGAGCTTGCTCCAGCGCCTGAAGGCGGCTTTGCATCGCATCCAGCATGCACTGGGACTAACCCAAGGCCTCTTGAAGACCCATTCACTCCGAGAACCAGTTTCTCGTGGGCCCCCACCAACTTTGCTCGATGAGCATGGGTGTCGTCAATCCCATGTCGAGAGACTACTGAAACGACGTCGTCGTCAGGGCCAATACCAGTATCTGGTAATGTGGCGTGGGTACTTTGAGTCTGAAAACTTATGGGAATTTGAGGTACCCCTTCGGCAATACTGCCCATATGCTTTGGAGGCTTTTGAGCATCGTGGCCATGGTCATCTCGAGACCGAGGCCGTTCCCCACCACTAGTGGTGCGGGTTGGCGGTTTGTTGGCCCCCGACTGACCAGCGCTCGCGGCTACCTTAGTAGCCGAAGCATAGCGCGTGCGCGTGCGCAATTGACCTCTGGCCTTAAGCTTGGCATAATTATACCGAAGCTTGTGTTCAAGACGCACATTTGCCGCATGGGCACTAGCCCTTAGAGCAAAATGTTGCTGAGGCGACGCACATAGTGCACCCAGTGAACGAAGGCATCGTCTTCTTCGCTCACTGTTTTGCCTGCGAGCAAGAGAATGGGTATCCCCTTGATCGGTGGAACCGGTGCACCACGAGCTTGCATGTCAAGGCGTGCCTTGTATTGACTTTGAGTCGTTAGGTGCGGCTCCAGGTACCTCTCACGAAGTACCTGGCAGCTCACCACCTCCTCAGGAGTCTTAGGCTCATGGCCAGTGACCCACGTTGCCAATTTTTGGCCGGCCGCTTGACGTAGACGTTCCTCCACACTGGGTGGGGTGAACACATAGTCACGCTGGCGTTCAAGGGTTGCAGCCATTTGTACATTACGCTGAGCGTTTTCTTCTCTTTGGACAAGCAATTGCTGTTGCTCATCGAGCGGGTTCGTGATGATAGTCTCATCGGACCCAGATGCTGCGTGCTACGCTGGTGGCGCGCTCGCATCTCCACGTTCAGCGAGCGGATTTAAAGTGTTCGAAGGTTTCGCCTCAGGCATCAGTGAGCCGGACATTGTCCCTGGATCACCGCGGACACTGGTATCGCTATCATAGTCAACCCTCCTCCCTTATTCCGAGGTAGTCACACAGAGCCTTTGACTCGTTTGGTGATGAGGACATCGTGCTAGAGCGTACATTACCGTAAGGTTTACCGAACGCGCACTGTTCTCGCTGAGAACACAAGTTCGACTGACGTTTTGGCAAACGTCAGTCTGGTGGGGGAGGGTGAAACGGGTTTGCACGAAATTATGGTACTTTGTACCAGAGGTGTACACACCTGAGGTTGCACCTTTGTGAATGTGATATAGAATATCTTATTGGTTTGTAGGGGCTGACGAGTGTCAGCCATTAGGTACGAAAGCTCTTTGAGTAGGATTAAGATATTCTATAGGCTTTAACAAAAATAAAATCAGTTCCCATTTTGATCGGAAGGACACGTGGCTTGCGATCCGTCTTAATCGTTGATCACTGATCACTAAGAGTTAGCAACACCTCCTTGAGGTAGCTACTCTTGAGCACTGAGTGCTGTCGATTCACTGAATCGTTAGGTCCCACTGGAACAGGGATCTGAAGCTGTAAAGCTTGTTGACTCGTAAAGTCGGTAGTTCTTTATTACTAAGTTGCTCGTAGAGCGTTAAGTCTTCCTCTGACTTAAAGAGCTGTGTAGCTTCGCTACACATTTCTTCTAGCTCCAGCAGAGCATTAATCGGTGGAAGGGCCTTGAGGCCAACTTCTCCATCCATCACACCCGACACCCCATTGACTAATATGTACAACTGTTCACCAGGGGCCTTCGGCGTCATGGCCGAAGCCTTAATTTTCACAGCCGCCATCTGGCGTCGCTGCCGTCTCTGTACAGAAACTGAACACTTCAATTTGTTACGAACATCCGGTTCCACGAGGTGAAGATTATCTTCAACCTCGACCTGTTTTCTCTGAGAGCCAATGTCATTACCGACATTAAGTGTGGTGCCATCACGGTCGACCTCACTCTGTGGATTTATGCGTGCCACTACACTCGCATCTGTTGAGCATGGCTTTTGATGCCTTGGCAAATCGCCAACAATGTCATCACCAACATTTAGTGGGGTGCCATCACGGCCGACCTTATTCTGTGGATGTTTACGTGTCACTCCACGCACATATGTAGAGCATAGCTCTTGATGCCTTGGCGAATCGCCAACGATGTCATAACCGACATTTAGTGGGGTGCCATCACGGCCGACCTCACTCTGTGGATGTTTATGTGCCACTCCTTGTGCATCACAGGGATCACAACCAGGACGACTCGGCCTTAAGCCATCAATGCTTCCAGCACTCAGTGATTCACTATCATCACTAGTGTCACTCAACGGAGTACGTGCCGTTTTACTATAGCTAATGAAATCAGAGTTAACTAGCTCAGACTCTCCAATGTCAAGCACACCTACAGACTCCGTCAGTGGCGCGAGCCAATAGCGCATTTGTTGCCTAGCAAAGGTGGTTTTATGACTCTCCAAAGCTTCAATAGGAACGTTGCGCGTTGCGCTTAAGGTCTTCGACCTCCAATCAACCCATGGCTCATGGCATTCAAGCCAAGCCAGACCAAGGATGAGATCATATTTCGAGTCCAAATTTAAGACAAGACAACGTTCGACACTATCGAAATCTAAAAAATTTACACCTAAGTTCAACGGAATTTTAGGTACGGTGACACGAGTACCTGTCGCTAAACGAACCGTGATAAAATCACCCTCATGCGCTTTCAGCGCCTCAGCATATTGTTGACTTCCCTCAAGGGAACGGCATCGAGCATAGTTGCCTGACGCTCCAGAGTCAATAATAATGACCAAGGCTTCTCAAAGCCCTAATTTTTAGCCGAGGCCACTAAAAGCCTGGCTTATACTCAAGTCTCGTGGAAAATGCTACAAGATCGTCTGGGGCTAAGCCCTGTCTATCTATACCACCTAAAGATTTGGCAGAGCATAGTTCCTCCCCAGTAGGGCGCCCCGCGCCTACTGGGAATTGCCGTTTTCCCGCTCCGTACTCACTTTCGGGTTAGGAGGCGGATTGCGGCTCGGCCGACTTTGACGCGGCTTCCGCAGTGGCGCTGAGGGCGCAAGTGCCTGGTGCTCCCGCACATGTACCATCTACGGACTTTACGTTGCTGTTCAACAGCCAGAAGATCTCTCAGTTCTTCTTCAGCATGGATGAGGTCCATGGGCTCAGCCCCATCAAATGATCTTCGGGCGTGCCCATGAGTGCCATAGCGAGCGGCTTTAAGTTGAAGTCATCATTCAACGCTGTCAACCCTTCAAACGTCGAGAGGTGGACGCGGAAAACTTCCGTCCTCGAGATCCCCGTAAGAAGGCCCTCCATGAAAATGGTGACACGGACTTGCTCTGGAAGAGGGTCCAGCTGCATAGCAGCTATGAGAGTTAGCAACTCTTGGATAAAGTCCGATAATTCTCTCTTTCCCTGCCTGGTGGCTAGTAATCGAGAGCGAATACGATACGCTTAATTAGGTGGCGCGAAGACCCGAGACATCTTTCGTTTAAGCAAATCCCATGTGGGAAACGCAGCTCTAACCGACTTATCACAGGTAAGAGCCCATTCTTTGGCTCTACCATCGAGCTATGAAATGGCTAGGCCAACTTTACGTCACTCCGATTAAAGCAAGGCGGCTTCAATAGCCATATCGATTTCTCGGATATAGAGGAGGAGACTTTATCCCTCTTTCCCCTCAAAAGCAATAACGCTAAGAGTGAGCGGACGAGTCTTTGACTCACTGTCAGGTACTGGAAAGTACCGTGTGGGTACGGCTGAGGCTAAATGGCCGTGGACCTGCCCTATCAGCGTGGCCTCAAACTGCATAAATGCATCAAGACCTGTATTTAGCACTTCTGGGCCTTGGGCCATAATGTGGTCAACCTGCTCGACCCCTAACAACGATCTAAGCTTATCAAGCGCGATACCTTGAGACTCAAAGAGGTAGTCAAGGGCTTCCATCTCTCACAGAGGATAAGTCGAAACGACTCTATTGTAGTATTGACTACAAGTGCTACCAATTGTAGCGGAGCTACACAGCTCTTTAAGTCAGAGGAAGACTTCCTCAACAAGCCAACGGCTTACGGCTGACAGCCTTTTAGCTCTACGGAACTACTAAATCAAGTTATAGAGTTTCCCAGTTCTACGGAACTCGGGTGGACTCTACGAGCTAACAGCTCAGATACTGTAGTTCTAAGGAACTACACGCACAATGTGCGAAATGGGAATACTGGAGTCTAAAGACTCTCTAACCCACGACAGTTCTAAAGAAATGTCCAACGCAAGGTGCGAAAGTGGGGGGAGTCGAGGACTTCTGCTCAAAATGAGAACTGAACTTTATACAGATTTTACATCAACGAAATCCTACTTTATGTACCCTGTATTATCCTGAATACAAATGCTAGCATTCGAAATAAATGGATGGTTGCCACATCACTCAGTCATCCAATGATGACGGTACAAAGTATGCACACGGTAAGTACCGTAAACCTTGGAATATCGATCAATCGATATTCTCTTGCTGATATAAAATCTAAGGTCACACACATCCATCCATATCATTTTGTGGGAGGTCTTTGACCCATTCATCCAAAGGCTAGTGTGACCCTGCTACACGCAAGGTAGCGTAGGTGTTGTGCGGAATCACGCACATCACGCTTACCTTACTTGAGCCTCAGGAGTGCAGAGCGTGCTTGGAACTCGGCTTTTGGCGGCTCATATGTCTCTTTGAGCCGAGACTATAAGATCTCTAACGACTCAAACACGTTTGGGTCGTGAAGCTTGAGCCCTAAGGCCCAAGTCTTTGCTCGTCCTGTAAAATTTAGCAGGGCGAAGGTGAATTGCATCTTGTCACCCCCGGTGTGACGGGCCCTGATGGCGTCGTCTAACTCGACAAGCCATCTCAAAAGAGAATCTTCATCGGTTCACTTGTACCTTGAGATGCCTATCTTCAAGGTTTCGTCTGGACGCGTGTGCGTCGGCCGGCCCATCGACTGATGAAAGCCTTGCTGTTGTAGCAAGGCTATCTTCTGTCTTTCTACGGCAAGTTCCCGTTGTAGGTACTTACTTGTTGATAGCAGCGTGTTGCTGGTGTCTGCTTAGAGAATCCAACATGCCACGGATGGCGGGTTCGCCCATAAGCAGACTCATGCGGTCGACTGTCTCCCATTCTGAGTCACTTAGAAAGAGAAGCCTTCACATGTGGCGTAAAATCTTTCGTCTTCTACGTCTAACATGTTCATATTGGACGGACACTAAGTAGTCGCTGGACGGACTACGAAGTGCTACCAGGTTTAACGGGGCACACTTTGTTTGGGTTGCGCTAAACTTCACGTACACTCGTACGTGCAGAGATAATTAGTCTACCCAACAACTATGTTGAGTAAAGGGTAAAAAGAGAACTGTTTTTAGTAAAGTGAAGCTACCAATCTAACATCAATCTTCATCTAACTATATAAAACTACGTCGTCGTATGAGGACAACCTGCTTACCACTCATTGCGCTCGTCTAGCAGCGATTGGTGGTAATCTATGGTAGATATGTCTTCTATCAATCAATTTTTTTTATCAGCGCAAGAATATTAGCTCACGAGGGGATAATATTCCTGTAATATCATCCATCTCGGATAAAATTGGCAAGGGAATTGTCACGCTAGACAATCTCCATGTTGGCACCGTTTGGTGTCAATATCATGTAAAGGCTACCCTGTTACAACTCTCATTAAATTGTTTAAGAAGAGTGTAACGGGGCACCCTGAAGCTTGTACTGATGACAGTACAAGCCACTTATTCTGACGACAGAATAAGGCGGTGCCTCGGAACTTCACGTACACTCGTACGTGCAGAGGAAGACGGTAAGGAGAAGCGAGTACTTGCTTCAAGTGAAAAGTAGAACTGTTTCTATCATAATTAATGTCTGTTAATAAACCACTGTATGATCCTCATCTTACTACTCATTGCGTGCGTCTGTCGTGGCGCGTCATCGTTGGCTGATAGAATGGTGTGGTGGAGTGGGGTTCGCTCATTTTTTGAGGCGATCCCGACTCTCCACTGGCGCCCAGACGACCGACTAACGGAGGGGGTACTCCGATTCTGCTTGCACTTGTTTCCTCCTCACCTTGTGTACCCGTCGGTAGGGCGGATTGCACTCTTCTAGGTGGACTCGACGAGATGCTAAAGTTGACCGTTGTAGAGATTGGTGCTGATCGGGTGGAAAATCCTCACCCGATCGCGTGTTCTGGGTTGGCGCTCTCCTATAGTCGCCGTGATCTGCCCTGATCACCTTGTGCCAACATGTGTACTTGAGTCGCGAGCCTTTCTGGCCACTTGAGCCGTCTCGCGATCTTGTACTTTAACCGATACGGTTGGCTGCGTCCGATCGCAGTAGGGTGTGTTGAGAGTCTTAGCACTCCTGGCCAAATAGCTCCAGGAGTGATCGTTCTATCCTTGATGTCGAGATTCTGAGACGTCGGGAGGCCAAAATATCCAACCCGGGAGAAGATCGACACGAATGTGTTTAGAAGCAAATTGAACTCTTTATTACTCGGTTACCAAACAAATTATTTTTATGGAATTACACAATGCCTGGCCAGACTATCCAGGAATTGACACGTCTCGATGACACGCGTTGTCCTTGACATCGGGAGGCCAAAATACGTTCCTGTCCGGAATTTCCTTGTATCTTGCGTAGACGGATCCATGTCGAATTTCTTGGTCACACGGTTACTAAGCGCATAAAATCACGTTGAGAGACAAGCCCTGGCCAATCGATCCAGAAGCAGATACTTCTAGCACGCGTGACAACATCTGTCTTCGGGAGGCCAATATAAGTTCCTGCCCGGAATGAAGTCGACGTGTGCCATTTGAGGTAAATTGAACTCTGTTCAATGTTATACCAAACAGACCCTCACACCTTACCTCTAAAACTCGGATAATCAGATGCCACGGGTCGCCTCTACAGATCGTCCCTTGTACCTATGTGGCACAGACCTGACACACCAACTGTCTGATCGCATCAGGGCATGGTCCACGCCAGATCGCGGTCCCTTAATCGCGGTCGCTTTCGCCGTTCGGAAACGTTCTGACCGGATGAGATACTTCCGTGAGTAATCCCAACGGTGCCATCCGTATGATTGGTCCTCGTCCCACGATCGTTCCGCCGGTCCCCACTCCGTACTTAGGCATACATTTGAGGTATTACGACACCGATCTTGATCGACTTTGCCACAATCGCCCCCTGCACAAATAGCCGATCTGCAATATCTGACTCGCTTGTGCACGTTTTAGTCACCACTTTCCGTTTTATCCTCCCGTTGCTTTCCATGGTTTCCACGTCGTCCACACCCAGCTTGCCACCAACTAGTTGTGCGCCATCTCACTTGGTGATGATGCAATCTGGTCCCGCACCTTCGGTCAGTGTTGATATTTCGCCACGCGAACACCCAACTGCCCCCGATTCCACTACAGACGCGGTTGAAGGTACCTCGGTGAGCGGAGGTCCGATCGGCCCTGCTTTGGGATCGATGCTGTTGTGGACCTCGCTTCAAGTACAGAACCGATCGGCTCCACGTTGACGCCTGATGTCCTTGGCAGTTCCGCTGCAAGTGACGAGACGATTGGGGTTGGAGAATCTGCTGCAACCACTGATCCGATAAGCTCCGCGTTGACGCTTGATGTCGTCGACAATTTTGCTGCAAGTAGCGACCCTACTGGGGCTATTCCGTTGCCGACCACTCGAGTTGAAACAACAATAGTTGATGAAACGACCGAGGTTGGTATGATCGCTGGACTTTATCAGCGGATCGCATCCCAGCAGGATCTTGTGGATAACTATCGCGATCTGGAGCAAGCGTTGCGGGAGCAAACTCGGAGGAGTGATCGACATGAACGGGAACTCCGTTCTCTTTCCAAGTCGGCCTCTCCTTTTGTGATCTTCGCTCAAACTCGTTGTGATCGTTTTCGTCTGGATTTGAAAAAATGCACTCGCTGAAGTCGCCTTGCTTCAGGAGACAATTCGCGCGTGGGGTTGCTACGAGCAGCAAATTAGCGATCTAAAGTCGAAACTTTTGAAAACGACCCGATCACTTCATACGTTTAAAGAACATCATGATCTCTAGCTGGATTCCTTGCGACGGCTCATGGATTAGGGGAACGCTCGAATTCAAGCCGTACTCTTAAAGGCCAAATCTAAGAGAGCCAAGTACAAGGCAGCCTGTACCAAGGCTCAGACCACGGTTCGCCACCTGCATGCTGCTCTTGCCGCTGTATCAGTGGAGCGCGATCAGCTTCGGGATGATCTGGCTGAGTAGGAAGCTGATCGCGCTCCTTGCTCTCCGATCGTGACGATCGGGTGGGCCTGCTTCAAGCTACTATCTCGGTTTTGGAGCTAGAGCACGATCAGGCGTTGCGCGATTGCGACTTTTTTCGAACGAGCATTGCCGCGCTCGTTACCGGCCCCAGTTTACCTTCCTCGTCCCGTCCAGTTGAGACGGCCCCATCTACGAGTGCTCGTGTAAACGCCCTAGTACTTCCGCTCTAACTTCTCCTCCGCGGACCAAGAGAGCCAGAATCGAGGCTACCTCGCAGTCGATCGATAAGATGACACCCAAGACTCATTCTTCGACCGCGTTCGGTATCGTCGCCGAGCCTTCTCCGCCGTGTAAAACCCCGAAGAACAACCCTTCCCGATCACCCCACAGTTCCACACGATCTCAAGCAAAAATTACGCCCAAGACTCCCGCTCTTCCCGGACCTGGTGTTCGAAAAGGCAAAGGCAGAGCGCGCAATCCGACGCCTGCTCCAGCTAGCTCGGATGATGACGATTTACCGGATGCTGGGCCTCGAACCTTGGCTGCACTCTCCCGATCATGCTCTTCTTCACGGCGTAAAGTCCCGTTGGGTAATCCGACGACTCCGTCTTCTACGTTACCAGAGTTGATCGTAGTGGATACCTCCAGCCCGGATGTGGATTCCCCCGCCTCCCCAGTTGCCGCTTCCCTTAGGCCAAAACCCAAGGTTTCCAAGGTCGACTTGTTTGGCGAAGCTTCTAGCAGTTCGGAGGGTCCGATCAGCGTTACGGAAGACGTCCGAGCCTCAGCCAATAATCTGTTGTCCCTCGGCCGAGTACAAAGATCTTCCCAAGACTAAGGTGCCCCGCGATCAGTGGATACCCGGGTATCACTGTCGCATACCAAAATCTTCTGTTCAAGTTTCACCTTGGTCTGCGCGCCGGGTGAGCTGGATTAGCGTGTTGGAATTGGATTTGGAGTTCTTCTATCGCCATCTCGCCAGGCCCAAGCATTACACTTTTCCAGCCTCTCCTGCTGTATCGAAAGCACTTCCCATGTCTGAGTGGTCTCCCCACTTGATTTCTTTGGCGCAGGTTGCCGCGCTTTATCGCCAGGAGCCCTGGAATTCTTTGCGTGTGAAGATTGCGCCCATATCTTTCCATACCGTTGGGCGGTTCGAGCAGTCGCTGGACCTATACCACTTTTTCGAAGAGCGCTATATCCAGACATTGTGGGAATCAACCCATACCTTGCCCAATTCTTCCGCCGATCGGTTTAAAGATTCTGGGCTGGCGTTATTCTGCGATCAGCCCAACCGCGGCGATCGCGATCTGGACCTCATTGGAAAACGTACTCAAGTTCATACTCCAAGTAATGGTAGAAGGCCGTTGCGACTTGGACATTCTGCTGGACCCGGTTTTCTTGCACCTACCTCGCTTACATGAGAAGCAGTTCTAGTACCCCAGGTTGGGGACTGGGAAGACTAATATTCCCAGCCTGGCTTCCGCTTTCTCGATGACGAACTCTGCTGAGCCATGGCGTAATCAGTACCGGACTTCGATCGCGAATCACCCAGGCATTTCAATCCCTCGCCTATCCGGTAAGTTCTTCACCCCGTAGTCCATCGAGTTCAACACATTTCGTGTTTCAATTTCATTTCTTCATACTGTCTTTAATCTTGATCTCTCCGGAAATGTCTTCTACGTCAGACCTCTTGGGCCGCGATCGTGCTTCGATCGCTACACATAATTACAAACATACCCTCCTCCTTCATACAGCACCTCCTGGTGTAACTTTTCCCACCGTACGACCATGTGCAACCTCCTTGCACACTTACATACCCCATCCACCTCGATCTGGTCTAGACTCCTGGCTCTTCTTCGTGCGTTCGCATCACTTCGAAACTATTCGACTTATCCGATCGCGATCAAGTTCTTGTAATAGAGCGCCACAATTCAAGTCTGCTACATTCACCCATGATAGATCGCTATTACCTTTCCATTGGACCAGAAATTGACGGTGTACTCGTCCGTAACGCGTCTTTCGACCCGATCGGACGTCTACAACCTTTGTCACCTCGAATTCACCATCATCCAACTTGCCTTCCCAGCTATCTTCTGGTAGTAAGGCTTCGTCGAAATCGACCCGATCGGACTCATCTACCTTCAGTTGAATTTGAGGCCGCTCTGGGAACATCTTCACTGGCTTTAGCTTGGACACATGTACTATCGGGAACAGCCTATAAGGTGTGCCTGCGATATCCAATTTTACCGCAGGATCTCCGCAGGTTTCCATTACTCGAAATGGTCCGTGCCACATATGGGCTAACTTCCGAGCATATCCATCCTTCACGCGATCCAAATACAACCACACTTGTGCCCCTTGATCGATCTCTAGCAGACTTAACTTCCTCTAGCTGTGGTTGCGCAACCACAGCGAGATCCTCTACGAAAGACTCTCCAGTCGATCTAGGATTATCGTTCTGCTTAACCTGAGCGATCGATGGTTTCTATTCTAGATGTTCCCCGCTAGAAATACATCTTTGTCCCGGTCCACTCGACTTATTCGAGTGGTGGACCTTCGGCGCAGCCTGTGTTTCCTCACAGCCGCCGGAACTTTGCTCCGAAGTGTAACCGTTTGGTACACTAAGGTTTTGTGCAGTCGTACTAACGACCGTACCACAAGTGAGGCCATCGCACTCACTCGTAGTACATCCACACGCTTGTGGGCGCTCCAAAACGTTCATCTGATGGCCATCTGATGAGCAAGCGGCAGGCATCGTTACTGTTCGATGTTGACAGTTTACCCGTGGTTCGTACCTTCTGAGCCACAGTATTACAAGGATGACATCAAATTTGTCATCCAAATCCAATACGATAAAGTCATCGTCATATTGGGTATCTTCTAGCGCATAGTGGATCTTCACTATAAGCTTCATGACGGTTACGGATGCGCCTGTCGCAAGACGTACCGTCATCCTCGTAGGAGGTGTGTCACATTCAACAAACTTGAAGTGACCATCTTCTATCGATTGGCGTCGCACAAAATTGTTGGACGCCCCACAATCGACTAGAGCTCGAAGGGACAACTTATTCGTCACTTCGAGTTTCAAGGTAATGAGTGAGATCTCATTACCTAGAGCAGCAACGCACAACGTTTGTGTGTTGGGAGCAACCTTCATCAAGAGGCCTACAAATTCTCTTGACGTTGCTGGACCAGTAGGGTGCTCCGCACCTACTGATCCTGTCCGTTTTTTGACGGTCCATCCCGTTGTTGCGTCTTTGCACCAACAGCGGACCCTCGTCTCTGCCCCTTTCTCATGGGTGGACGGTCACTACGCCCAGTGTCGCGAGACACTGGACGAGGGGCACTACACTCGTAAGCGTAGTGTCCTGTCTTTTGACATCTGTCGCATTTCTGCAACTTCTTGTAGTCTGTAGAGTGAGCCTTCTCACTCTCTACATAACAGAGTTCCATCGGCTCTGGACCTCCGTTGTCATATCGTCTCGGTTGACGATATGATGTCGAGCGGGCGCGAGCCTGTCTCAGACTGAAGTCTTCCTGTTCCGCAATGGAAATGGCTTGTTTTAGTGAATCTAGTTCAAGCCGGAACAGGTGAGTCTTGACGGGACCATCCGCAAGACCCTGCATGAACACCGAAACCAACGTGTGTTCATTAACCGGGTTGGAACTTATACAACTCGTAAGATGTCGTATGTGTTGTGCGTAAGCGCGCACATCACGTTTACCTTGTTTGAGCTTCAAGAGTTCTGTTCGAGCTCTGAACTCAGTTCTAGGCGATTCAAACGTTTGTCTGAGCCGCGACTTGAAGACTTCCAACGACCCAAACGCATATGGGTCGTGCAACTTGAGCCCCAGTGCCCAAGTCTTGGCACATCCTGCCAGATTTGATTGGGCAAATGCAACTTGCATTTCCCCGTCGTCGATGCGACGCGTCCTTATGGCGTCGTCTAATTCGACAAACCATCTCAAGAGGGAGTCCTCTTCGACTCCCCTATACTTGGAGATGTCAATCTTCAAGGTTTCGGGTCGACGCGAGTGCATCGACCCACCAGCAGCAGCCTGCTGCTGTCTCAACAGTTCGAACTGTTGAGCACCCTGTTCTCTCAACAACTCTGCTTGTTGAGAACCTTGTTGGTGAAGCAAGGCTACTTTCTCGCGTTCAGCGTCAAGTTCATTTTGAATGAACTTGGCGATAGTAGCATGTTGGGCATCTCTATTGAGAGCCTCTAGCATGACGCTAACAGCATGGATGCCCATGGTTGAACCCATCCGTTCAACCGCATCCCATTCGATATCGTTCAAATGGGAGTAGCCGTCACGCGTAGCGTGAAAGCTTTGGTCATCTTCATCATCCAACATGTTCATGTTAGATGTGAACGCGGTCCTTGGACGGACTACGAAGTGCTACCAGGTGTAACGGAGCACCCTGAAGCTTGTACTGGTGACAGTACAAGCTACTTATTCTGATGACAGAATAAGGCGGTGCCTCGGAACTTCACGTACACTCGTACGTGCAGAGGAAGACGGTAAGAAGAAGCGAGTACTTGATTAAAGTGAAAAGTAGAACTGTATTTAGTATAGTTAATGTCTGTTAATAAACCCCCTGTTTATCCTCATCTAACTATGTCTAAATACAAATGTGTAAATCAATTATCTGCTCACCACTCATTGCGTGCGTCTGTCGTGGCGCGTCTTCGTTGGTTGATATAATGGCCTATATCAACCAATTAGGAACTACTCGTAAGTGCTACAGAATATTTGTCCTTATGACAATATTTTCTGAGAATGTAACTCTTATAGTTATATTCTATTAACAATTTCTTATAAATTGTTATGTAACGATTCACCCCGTTACATCACCCCCCCCTTAACCATCAGTCACTTTAGTGACTGATTGACTGAATGGATACTCGTCCCAAATCATTTGGGACAGGGTTTGCACTTGTTGGTCCGCGTCCACTTTCCAACATCTCATCGCATGGTAAACAAGCCCATGCGATGCGCGAACAAGGCCGCCGAGAGCGCGTCTGCACGTCTCTGTGCGGACGCCGAAGCAGAAACTACAGCAACTGATGTCTCATCGGTTGCTGAAGCGACCCAGCCTGTGTCATCTGGTGATGCAGGCGCTCGTCATGAAGACACTCATGTCTTCACAGAGTACGAGCTCGGTGTCTCGTACTCTCCTGATACGGATGACGGATCCGTATCGACGGCGATTGAATCTAAGCCGCCTGCCAAGCGTGGCATGGACGATGCTTTGCGTCGCAGCATCTTTGGTTCATCTGATGAATCAGATGAACCATCGCCGAAGCGAAGGCGCTCGAGGTCGCGAGACTCGGGCGCTAACAGTGGTGTCGGTTCTCCTATTGACACCACTTCACAGAGAGGTGCCAGTACTTCTGTCGGCACGTCGCAGGAAGAGCGGGACCGCAATGTGTTGCGTCTCGCTACTGAAAAGAAGGCATGGATGCCTCCAAAATCAGTCATGGATCACTTGTCGGCGACGACGAGTGATCGTTATCGAACACGATTGTTCGATTCGTCAAGGATCCATCACCTTGACCCCAGTGCGAAAACCTATCGCGCTGAACATGAATTCTTCATTGATGCTTTCTTCAAACTTCGATGGTACAGTGGGAATCACAAACGTGATGGTCCCTCACTGCTTCAAGCGTGGAACGCCTACATCCATAACCTCGAGGATGTAGGTCGTGACGCTTGGAACGACAAACTTATCAAAGCTCGCGATAAGTTTGAAAAGCGAACCCCGACAGGTGCACGCTACAAGCTGCATCGTCTGTCAAGGGAGAAAGGATTACCCTGCCTCTCTTGGGG